CATTCTCTACTGGAAAAAGGCTCTACGCGAATGCAACAAGAGCCTGCAGCTCAGTAAGGAGTCACCCAAAACAGCCATTTCAGACGTTAGTACCAGATGGGAAAATTTTCAAATCTTGGAATTTGGTTCCCCCCACATGCCTTGACCGAACACACCCGCCAAGGTCATTGCATGAACACATGCCTTCCACTGCTTGCCCGCCGGCAACAAGCAGTGAATGGACCTTTGTGGAACATTGTGACAAGTGGTGATAAATGCATTTTTTTGAGAATCCCAAGCGTAAAACTGCGTCGTGGGTAGATTCCGGGTGAGCCATTATGTCAACGCCGAGACAGGACATCCACTTGAAGAAGATTCTCCCCTGTGTATCAGGTGGGGGCACATGAGCGGTGTGCTTTATTGCGAACTCCTGGAAACTGGTCTGACGATGATTGCACAACGCTGCAACCGTCAATCGAACAAACTAAACGAGGTACTTGATCAGAAATGGTCATTTATTGGGCAAGGAAGCAAGCAAGTCATAGTGTTGCTGCATGACACCGCTCGACGTCAGGTTGCTTGCGCGACTCTGAAGACCCTCTAGAACTTGGGATGGAAGTTCTGCCACACTCGACTTATTCACCAGACACGGCCCCATCCGACTACCACTTGTCCCGGTCAATGCAGCAGCACACCTTAGTGGATGCACCTTTCAAAACGCTGGACAATGGGTGTGAACTAGTCGATGAATTGATTCATACGCCTCACATATTCCTTGTTGTCGCCGTTATTAGACGACAAGACCAGCAATACAAGAAAAACCGCTTCTCACGCGCCAAGTACTGGGTGAGCAGCAATTATTGGTGGTGCGTAGGAACCAATCAAATCATGCGACAAGCGCCTCAAACGCCAATTGGCCACAGATCGATCCGTTAGCACAAGCAGCCACCTAATTGATCAAGGAACTGTCACATGCAAGGATTTTGTGCAATTGCGCAGTTGGGCGGAAGGAAACACAGGAGATGGCTTGCCTGCCTGCCAGCCAGCCAGGTACAGGCTCATGAACCGTGATATCGAGGCAAGCCGAGTTCATCCCAGATAACCGCCAAGTCACCCTTCAGTTCCAAAGTCCACGCCAAGTCGTGGTGAGCGCGCGCGCACGCACGCACGCACGAGAGCGAAACCGACCGGCCACCTGGGCGCCCTCATGGCGTTGGCAGTCCCACAGCTACGAGACACAAAACACGTCCGTTTTCAAACAGAGGGCATTGACGCTGCTCCAAGACCATTCTAGGATAGCACATCTACATTTACGCTCCGATTGAGCCCCAACAATCGCCCACACCGATGGCTACGCAGACAAAAGGCCAAATTTTGTGAAATGTACAAAAAACTGGCTGATGGCGGTTTCATACAGCATGTACAGTGGGGTCTGGTGTTTCAGACGAATTCTGTTCTGCATCAGCAACAACCTCCGGCACTGCCTCCTCCTCGTCTCCTTCTTCCTCCTCCACCTCAACGTCAGGATTAGCGACGGATTTCGGCTTATCCACACCAAGAAGCTTGCCGGTGTCTTGAACACTCGCCAGGAACTCTGGAGTCATATACTGCTCCAGTAGCTCACGCTTCCGTTTCTCTACCAACGCCTCCTCAATCTATAATAATATGCGTACTTAATTAGAAATAAGTAGGTAGTGTAGAATGAGATTGCCAAAGTCGATGCGTACCTCCTTCTGACTGGGAACGGCGGTGTGAGCGACAAAAGCGCGTTTCAAGTGGCCCGGGGGTCGCGCACCGGTCTTGGCCAGCAGCTCCTCCAACGTCAGCTCCCTCTCCTCTTCACTGGGGTCGACGGAACTCAAGGCCATTGCGAGGGAGGCGTGTACCGTCCCCTCGGACTCAAGCATCCGCTGAGCGTGCGCGTCCTTTTCAATCTCCGCGTACAACTTCAACAGCTCCGTATCGGCTGGCTAGGAAGACCAGAGCAACAAGAACGGCCAATAAAACCAATCAATAGGACCTGAACTCAATGCATTTGCGAGTCAACAGTCGCCAGGTGGATAGAAATTGCGCCAGGAAGAATCTTGGGCATATCATGACCTTTCACGAATAAAATTCCCCAGGGCCAACTCCATACCTGATCTGACATTATTGATCGATTCTAATTAGGTGATGCAAATGAGTATTTTATTATTCACAGAGATTGGAAGAAGTGGCGATCGATTCAGCAAGATAGAATGTGTTCAAATTTCACAGAAAACTGACTACAGATAGAATTTTTGATAACCAAGTCCTCAACGACGAGTTTAACTTGATTTTCGGCCATGACTTGAGAAGAGATGTGATTTGGGCTGGGTTAAACAACGTCAATTCATCGCAAATTGCCAGAAATCAGCTCATCAAACACAAGACAAAACTAGAGATGGGTTTGACGGAAACGTAGTGTAACTTATGTAACCAGACTTTGAGCGAAATTGCAATGTGAGGGATCGCCGGATAACAATCCACCGTAGAAGTCAGACATACAATACCGCCTGACAAATCATGATCATCACCGATATTCGGCAGTGTGTGCAAGTGATCTATTCTAAACAGAGAACGCGAGAGATTAGGAGAGGCGAATTTGTAGTGGGTTGTGGGTATGCAAGGAGGATGTACATAAAATTGAATGGATACAGAATACTGACAAAATAATAACTAACAAGGTGTCCTACTAGGATTTGAAAAAAGATGACATGGGCTGCGGCTTAGCTAAATCTCAAAAACCAACCCACAGAACCCAAGACAAAGCTGAAAAAGCAAGAATATTCCTTTTTGAATAAAATCATAGTTAGGGAGCGAGTCTGGGCTTCGCTAATTGGACTGTAAAGCGAAGTTCTCAAAAACAGCACATTGTAGAGGTCAGACGTGAAACGAAGCAGCATCCCTTTTGAGTGGTTAACGTTAAAATGAAAAATATCTTCCCATGAAACAACCCCTCAAACGCTATCAAGAGCAAAGCGACCCATTTTGAACAACCGGCGATGCGACTAACACCTTGCCCAACCGTGGATAAAACAAATGGGTTAATTCACGAAACGACGGATGAAAGTGAAGACAAACGAAGAGGACTTGCATTATCGCCAGTGTCGTAGATGTCCTTGTCGTCGGGATTGTCTTCATCCACCTCAGCCTCGTCTGCCAGTTGTTCTGGCGTTTTGTAGTAGGCGGCCTTCCGGCCTGCGATTTCGTCGGCGTGTCGTCTACGCCACACTTCCGCTTTCTTCGCCATCACTGCCGAGAAAAAACAAACGTTTGGCGTGATCAGAAAGCTTGAAAGACCTATGGGTCACTAAATCGGAGTAGCACAGGGAATCATGAGTATAAAATCAGGGAAACAGCCAAAAAAATAGTGAATTCAGAAAGAAAAAGGCGAAGTGAATGCTCTACTTAATGTGTTCGCCGTCTCAAAACACTAGTAGCAGCGAATAAGTGGCATTAATGCCTTGGGCGATGGATGAACTAATACAAAATAGAATTGTGGATGAGCAACACCATATTTCAAACAGAATAGACCAGATTGAGATGAGTACTTGACATAATGTAAATACACAAATTTAGTATATTTCCACGTTTAAAGGTCCAATGCTTAGGGCTAAGAAAAAAACGCGTAAACTCGCGCCGTCGATAGGCATATTTAACAGTGGCTAAGGCTTGGTAAACTTCTGCTCTGAGAATATCGTAACATAGAGAACCCACATTTCTCCTCATAAGCGGCTTCCTGTGGTAAGATAACCCCATCATCCTCATCACAGTTTCCATAATACGAAATATCGACAGCCTTCATTAATTCACCACGCGTTTTCCTGGGGATGGGTTGAGCTGCAACGAGACAAACAAGGCATCAAAAAGGGGCAGAATAGGAAACCTAGACCAAGAAGGAAAAAAACTCACGCTGATCTTCAAACAGTTCTCTTACACCAGGTAGGTCACGCGCAGCACCGAAGTAGCGATAACCTCTGTTACCCGGGGCTTCTCTGCCATCTTTCTCCAACAATCGAGGGCCATCAGCCTTGTAATCCGGTCCCCCTAACTCCTTAATTCGGGTGTCCCACCGGTCTTTTTCACGAATCAACTTATTGATTTCATCGTTAAGGTCACGCAGTTTGTATTCACCAAGACTGGCTAAACATCAGTTAAATGGGTGTACAGACGTACGATTTTGGATCTGTGCTATCTTGCGCGAGATCTCATGCACAATCTGACGGCGAAAATACATTGCATCTTTCAAAATTTCACAATCTCCTGCAAAGTGTGGCCGCTTTTTGATTTCGTTGATCTTGTCAACGTAGGCGGCACGCCACCGAGCGAGAGCAGTCCTTAATACAACATAATTAGAAATTTATGATTTACATTGCCTTTTCTGCACTTCGGGCCTAAAAAAGCATACTTTAAAAACAAGTACCACCTTACCATTCTGTGAATAAATTAAATCGCAGCCGGTTGATTTCTACACACAAACTACAAAAGCAGCACGTATTTGACAAATCCGCGAACAAATGCAATTCATCCAAAAAATAAGTCACCTGACAAATTTTCAAAAATTAATTAAATAGATCTGTAGTAATTGTTCAAAAAAATTAGAAAATGTAAAGAAATTAAGGCACCTATTATTCTTAATGTAATCCATTAAACGATACAGAAAATCTGGATAAACATTGAGGATTTCATAAAAGGCAATCAGTTGCTTAAAATAATGTCGTACATACTATTAACATACAATTAATGGCAGTACCGGTTTTCTATCATAGAGTTTCTGTTCGTTCAAGTAACATCACACCATTTTTACTTTCGTTGAAATGCGTGTTTCTCTCGAAATCCTGCAATTGTATTTAACCCAAATGCGCGTTTATGGCATAGAAAATAACCGGCAGTAGTAGAAAGCTATATAGGTGCATTATCATTCCAACCCAACAATTAATAAAATATTTCCTTGCCAAAATATCACAGATATATTTGCTGCAGAAGTCTGCGGTAAAAGCAGAAAGTAAAAAGTAAATACAGACTATAATTACTAAGCACAGCGTTAAAAATATACTAAAACTAAATAAATTATGCATACAATAAGTATCTCAGTGAACTTATATTTCAACTTCGAAATATAAGTTTCGAAACAATTCAGCGTCCACTTTTAAAACCTATGTAGTTTACATCTTAGTCATCTGCACCTAAACAGGTGGTTAGAAAGTTTCACTATCAAGGTTAATTTTTCTTATTTAAGAGGCCCATTCAACGGTTTGAATTTTAACGTACACAATCAACAAAATCAGAGCGACATGCATTACCACCTTGGACCTGACTTCTGCATAACTATTTTTATCATTCTCATAAACACCTGTAATGGTAATATCAGCAGACACCGAACTTACGCTAGTTTTGGTCGATCCTTTAAAAAAAGTTGTGCCTTTCATACATTTTTACTGCTACACATAGGAGCACATCTTCAATTTAAATGTGCAAATCTGTCCATGTAAGATCTAGAACCTCATTTAGATCGGAGCTATCTATAGTTAAATAAAAGCTGTCTTAACATCCACTTGCTAGTAAAATCGGTCAAACGAATTTCGATAATATGGATATCTAATAAATCGGGTTCTGATTCGTATTTGATGTCCTGTAAATATATGAATCTTTTGTTACATCTTGATAGATTATTTTATTATCATTATTATTAGTAGTAGTTGTAGTATTGGTAGTAATATTAGCAGTAGTAGCAGTAATAGTCGTAATAGTAGTAGTGGCATTGTGTTAATGCTGGTGAGTGATTATCTAAATGATGCCAAATCAAAAAGTATTAAGATAAATTCATTTAATAATGTCTTAATGTCTCAGTGTTAAAAATAAAAAAATTATATAAATCTGAAATATTTTCGTTAAGATATGGCAATGTAGTAATGGTGAATTATGGAAGTTCAGTGCTATGTAATTCGTTTTTAGCATTAAGATTTGCAATAATATTTATTAACTGATTTTAGCTCAATATTTTGCAGCTTGATCTTTGTTTGATTGCACAAATTAAATCTTACCTGACGGCCTATTTTTTTGAATCAGTGGTGAACATCACTAGTTCCATGTTTTTCCGCGCTCTATTGCCTTACATCAAACTTACTTAATCTTGTTGCATTCGATATGAATAAAGTTGTAACAAATGCTAACTTATCTCCCAAGGATTCTATCGTTACAACCAAAGAACGTGCTGCTTCTTCATCTTCAGAAATGTCTTCCGGAAAACAAGAATCTAACATTTCTTCTATGTCAAAATTTTTTGAAAGTGATACCTCAGAAAAAGAAAATGTAACACGTAATGATAGACTGTTGAATGCGACCGGAAGGTCCTCTGTGCAGTGTAAGACCATCGTGAACGTCGGATTTTGCAAAATACCGAAAGAAGTGTACAGGAAAACAATCCACAGAGGATTTGCATTTAATATAATGTTGGTTGGTGTTACGGGCCTTGGAAAATCTACACTTTTAAACACACTCTTCATGACAAACGTATACAGTGAAGAAAATCCAGTACGTTTATTTATATGTTTATTTACCCAACTACGCTACGATTTACACTAATTTATTATTGATAGGTTTTTAAATTAAATTTTCGCATGGAACAACTCACCATTTTTAACTCTCTATAGTATCTATTGCACAATGGATTAAAAAGTTTTGGTTTTTTAATTCATGTGATGGGCGTGTGCCAGAAAATTCAAAAATTATTTAAAATATTTGTGATAGTGTCGTATTTGTGAAGGCTGTTTTAAGCAAACTCCATGTTTAAGACAGTAAAACCAAGAAATTTGTAATAATGTGTAGTTTTGTAGTTTTCTCATTTATTTGGTCACAATTTTTATAGCATCGCGCTGCATTCTTAGATTCGTAAATGCTGTTTTTTTTAATTTGACCCGTCGTCAATCCAAGATTTTACGTATATCTTGATCTTAAATTAATCGTTCTAGTTCCTCAAATTCACCACCCAAATATGAATTTAAAAAATTCTAAACTGTTTAGCTTTCAGAAGAATCAACTGAAATTATTCATTAGCCATGTAAATGTGTTCATGTTCAGCAGGGCTTCTTTTACGCTTTATACGTAAAAGTGGTTTACTCTATGTGAGTACTTCTGATAAATTTTTGTCTAAATAAGAAGTTAATCGAAATTGGAATTGTAGATGTAAATTTTCTATAAAGGACTGCTGTTGCAGTTTTCTTTTGAAATATGACAAATTGCAATTTTTTTCGAAGAATGTTATGTGCTATCGTAAACTAATCCCATGTGTGTGAAACTTATTTGTGATTGATTACTGGAATAATTATCAACTCTCTGCATACTTGAAGTTACGAGCAGTTTCATTGTCTTGAAGATTCGATGCGTGCTAAAACGCTCTCAGATTTATAAATACTAAAAAATACCTTGTTCCACAATCCTGTAGCATACATTAGGGCAGTCTTTTAGGTTAAACAAGCCTTGATTGGATAAATTATTAAAGTATTGTTTGAGAATTTTGTTGTAAAAAGATGTGGTTTATGTGCCTTAGTTGAAATTTCTGCCCTATTGTTTGCGTGCTTTATCGACAGGGGCCTTCTGTGCGTTACTACAAGGATGGCAACAACCAATCAGTGTCCTCGACTACCTTTACGGTGAGCGAGCAGAACGTCAACCTGACAGTGACGGTAGTCGACACGCCAGGATTTGGCGAGGCGCTGGACAACTCCTGCTGCTGGCGTCTGCTAGTGGACGAGATCAATCGCCGCAACGCCGCCTTCATGGAGGCCGAGTCTCGCGTAAACAGGCAAACTGTGGGCTCAGGTGGCCGAGCCGGGCGTCTTGGCGTCTACCCGGAGCCTCTCATCCACGCCTGCCTCTACTTCATTCCACCCACGGGGCATGGGCTGCGTCTGATGGATCTAGAGGCTATGCGTGCCCTCCACGACAAGGTTTGTATTTTCAAAACCTGGAAAGCTTTCCCTAGGTTGATCTTTGGCCCGTCTTCTTTCCTTTTTTTCTCACTGCACTTCGTAGCAGTTTAGATGGCTACCTTCGCGTAGTTACACTGAACACGACTGTTCCCATGCTTGGTATGCTAATGAGCTTTGGGTTTGGTCGACTAAGCTGCGCGCATTCTCATGCACGTTTCTTCCGAATTCAGCACGCGCTATCAGGCGTCTATTAACAAAACCCCTGCCTCAAGTGTGTGCAAATGAACTGTTACATCTCGATATGAGCTGACGCATTCAACACCCACCCTCTTAAATGCCCAGCTCGTGTTTTAAGTCGTTCATTTTTGTCTCCACTCGAGTTGGTCATTTAATCTAAGGAGTTCCGCGTTCTCGCTAGCACATTCCGTTTGGAATTTAGCCGGTTAATTTTCTAGCAAAAAACCCCCTATGCTATTATTTGCGTTGCGTTTTGAGATAAGTAGGACCAAACCAGTCGAGGCCAGTCTTTCTTGCGTGTCGTTGAAAGACCAAAGTTCAAGTACATGCTGCAACCACCACTTAACAAGTGCCAGACTTGTTTTCGGTGGATTTTCGGTAGCAGACAATGCTTAGAGGGGCTCAAATAGCTGTTCTGATCTACATCGCAGTTATCGAAATAACCTCTTACTTGTACTCGTCAATGTTTACCTGTTGACTTACGATTTACTAGACCGTTAAGTTCACACAAGAAAACAGGGCTTAATCGGACTGTTGCCGGTCTGGACCAGTTAAAAGAAGCGAGGAACTCGAAGTCTTGCACACACAAATACATGATATCTGCTTCATTCGGTTAGTGCCTTCTTTAAAACAATTACTGATGCGTAAACTTTGAAATTAAACCCTAGCCCCAACCAGACCAGGCGTGTGAATTTCCGCCAATGAAATACTGCCCTGAATATCTGTTCGTTGACTTACTGCATTCTATTGAATGCGTTTGTACTCGAAACTCTGCGTCACGTCGTTTGGTTAATGTCAAGTGACAGTAAACAGCCCTACACTTCACAACACAGGCAGTGGTGGCGCCGACTAGCAGGTCTACAAAAAGTCACTGTCCGACCTTCATAAATAGTAGAAGGATGTAGGTTACACTTGACTGGTGTTTCTTCTTAGTGCATTTAACTAATTGTCCCCTTTTTAATTGCGTAGTGATTGAACGTAGCCTGTAGCTTAATTGAAAGTAGATACTGAATGGCTGCGATGCGTGTTTGGGCATTTGGGGAACCACGTTTCACCGTTCGGACAAAAAATCGGACCGTTTTTGGATCCAGTCATAACTGGAGATGAAGCATCACATTCTTGAACTGAAAGCCGAATTTAACGACATTTTTTCCGGGTTTCTAGCAAAGAAAACACTCCATTCGAGCTTCTTCCACTTGACCGTTAGCATGGGAATTACTTCAGCTGAATGTGCCATATTGCATAGTTTCACTTATTTCGTTATCTGTTAAATTGATTTAAATGGCTGAAATGTGGTTCCGTGGAAGTTGTCATTCTTTTAAACAAAATCACGCGGCTTGTTTGAAAGAAAGCCCATTCGGACGCAGGAAAACAGTAACGAGAAATGAAGGAGTGCGCATTATTGGTTAAAAATATGCGTTTTTATCCGAGTTAATTTCAAATCGTCCAACTACGGCTCTTTTTGCTCTAAGTTTTAAATGAATTTTATGAACACTGGTTAATTTAGCATTATGAATACTTTCGGAAATCTACATTAGCGCGCATGAAGTTGCTTCAATCAGGGGTGATCCTCTTAGGGTCAGCCCAAGGTCAGGGCAGGTCAAACCCACACGATCGCAAATTCTAGCGAAGAGGCCAAGCAGTCGAACACACAGCACCATGGAAAGCCGATTCTCGTTGTTCGTTGCATTCAAATGCCACTCGCATCACAATTTCGTGCACGCACGGTAACAAGATCGCTTCGTTGGATGCGTTAGTCAGGTTGCCTGGTTATTTACTTTCGCTTACATAACGTGAGGTGTTCTGTCACCCACTAACCCAACTTGACTGCGTAGAGAGAAAATTATTGGCGTTCCCGGAACCAACGTCTTCACTGGTCACACTCACTGTGTACAATTTGGTGACATGTTTACACACACACACACACGCACACACCTCCTGCCATGTTTAATCACTGCTTACTAATTAGCGCGCCTGAAGCCTAACTGTGTGCAGGCCTGGTGCTACGCAAACTTGAATAACCCCCACCTCCTCGCCAGCACAATCTGGCAGTTTCTTACATCTGGTTTGGAGGGAAGTTTTTACAACCAGTCGTGTATCGTACTCAATCGCTCCGCTGATTTGTTGAACCTTTTGTGGGCCTCAGCATGTGGTCTTGAACCACGCCAGGGCCACGGAATTAACCCTGGCCCGATTACGTTCCCCTGACACCCGCGATGAAGGAAAAGACCGGAGAGGACGTGGACACAGCCGTTTACTTCAGAGCCCAACCACATTGGTGTCGTTGTGTGGTGTGTGGGGTATACGCGTGTGTGTTTCTACCTCGGGTGTGTGGGTCATACACGCGTTAACATCGAGACCTACGCGTGGGGATACTCCAAGATAAATATTCGTGCTAATGAAGGGGGAGTTGAGGATTCGCGCGGCTGGGTAACCCTGTGTAGGAGGTGGAGCGTCCGGATTAGGGGGTGTGAATAAACACGATTCACGACAAACCAATTTCTCCAACGCATTTGCGCGTATTATTTTCGGATTACGTGAGACACCAACTGCCCAGGAGGTCAAGAGCACTGAAGATGCGGGCAGCCGCACTAGGTTTTCGCATCGTCAAGTGTGAAACCAGGGTGTGCCGTAGTGGCACTCCACAAACTGCCTTCTGGTGAATTTTATTCCAAAGTGGATGCCTTCTGCCCCGTGCAGGTCAACCTCATTCCCATCATCGCGAAAGCCGACACAATGACCGTGGAGGAGTGCAAGGCCTTCAAGCTGGCCGTGCAGAGTCAGCTGCTGCGCGAGGGCATTCGCACCTACGACTTTCCACTCTCCGCCATGCCTGAAGTGACTTCCTGCGCTGCCACCTCGACGACGTCCAACGACGTCCGCGTGGCAGAGGTCAAGCGACTGCGCCTGCGGCAGCCCTTCGCCGTGTGCACAAGTTCAACTGTCATTACCAAAGAAGACGGCACCAAGGCACGTGTGATTAATCACATTTTACGCATGCTATTTTTTGTGACTACGTAGGTGTAGATTGTAGAAGACCGTGAGGTCTGTGTGTTGATGATGTACAGCTGAAAAGCAGATTTATTAAGCCACTACCTGCCTCACGATGACTAGAGGATTGATTTATTGATTGATTCTGCTTGTCGATAGGTCAAACATCAGTGGTATCAATCAGGTCATTGTCTACTGGTCGACTCAAGGTCATTTCTGGTGTTATTATGGGTTATAGTCCATAAACGGAAGTTAGATTTGCTCTCGTCAAGACCTTGTGTCAATGTCAGGTCCTAGGGGGTCATCTCAAGGTCAAATATATCCTGAAGAAACATCGCCAACAGCCAACTCACCAATTCCAGCACTCGAAACTACATGATGGTATTATTTTCAAGCAAAGAAGTTAAATTACATGCAGTGGAGTGGAGTTAGAAGGATGGAACTATGGCATTTCTGGGTTGACGAATCAATAAACCGGAGGAAATTTCGTGACCTGATGGCGGTAAAGATGCCACCAGCGAAACTAGTTTATAAAATTATCAATCAGTTGGTGCGTAGTTTGTCGAAATTCGACCAAAGGCTCCAAATCAGCTGTTTCAGTCAATCTGGTTCTCTTCGGCGCGACTTGACGTTAAATAAATTCACATGTTCAAAGGAAGTCGGAGTGACCGACTTGTAACCAATCCAATTTGACCGACCAAGACTGGCCGCTAGCATTAGGGACAAACAAAGGATGTTCAGTAAGAGAGTGAGATGGTCGTGGACAACGCCCTGCCCTTATTGGTGTATTCAGTGAAGCCTCAAGGTCAAGCGTAAATCGAGGAGGTTTTAACACGATAAGCGGCTTCAGCAATTTAAGTGGAAAACCCCATCGTATTAAACTTGGGTAGTGACGGTCGACAACGACAGATCTCAACAGCTGTTTCGACGACAACACCAGAAAAAGTGTGGCTAAGCCATGTGGACAACTTAATTAAAAGGCCAATGGAAATAGTTAACAATAGCAGAAGCTTCATCTGTTATTGAAGTGATAAATTTTGTTCAAGATTCTAAGCTGATAACTGACCGCTAGGCGAACAGCTTGGCCCTCAACGTGATTGGTTGATCTGCTTAAATGTCAACCAATCACAACTTGTGTCTGCAAGCACCAAAGTCGTGTGTGGCCAAGATCTTAACCTCGGGGGTGGCAGGGCACGCCTGTGACCTAAATAATTTTGGGATGAAGAATTACAGTGCAATCCCTGCTGCAGCCGATAATATATACACCGATGCGCTACACTGTCACCCTTTAAATCACCAATCAGAATTCAGGAAACTTTTTTCAACTCAAGTACGACTAAATCAGAGCGAATGCTAAATTGTAGGGCAGTGTACTTGTCTGTCGCGGTAACTGAATGTACTTAACGTACTCCTTATTCCAGTGCTCCTGAAATCGCAATCATGATTTGTTTGTTCGATATTTAAACAAAGCAAACCTGCGTGGGTGATCCATCTTTAAACTGCTAAAATACGCATCGTAGTAGTATCAATGAATGACAATCTACTTGCCCTATCGTCAACGACTTGTGTAACCTTGGCATGACCTTGAGGTGACCAATAGCCGAGCGCTTGTCACTGACTCCAGTCGTCGACATTTGAACAATTCCAACGTGAGTGAGAAGGAGGCTTTTGTTTGCCTCATGGACTGTGACCCACAACAGCACCAGTGAATTTCAATTCTTGCGTGAGGTCTGCGCGTCGGTTGTCGCCTACTTGGCTATGACGGATTTGACCTTGAGATGACCAATAGGAACTTACCTAAGGCTGTGTCGCGTATTCAGGTAGCATGGGCCAGATCTGTTAATTTTGTGACAACTAGGCTGGAATTTCAGTATATTTCCCGACCGACAAGTCCATATCGATTTTGATGCGATAAACGCTTACAGAATCTTATTCTTAATTGGATAGCCCTTACCAGATTATCTCGTGTCAATTGTTTTCAAGGTCACATGAGGCAATTGTAAATTAAAGCAATTAAATCTGTCCATTGAAACGACTGGGTTTGGTATCAGGTGTACCTGAGTGACTTGTGACCTTTCCTCCAATGAAATGGCTTAAAAAGGAGCCAATTGAAAAAGAGAAACTAGGTATGAGACACACACGCGCGCGCACTGAACGTAGTCTCCAGTTGTCGGCACTTTGCCCGATGACTCGGTGTTGGCAACAGAAAAATGCGCGATTAACTCTTGAGTCACAAAATTGCAACAAAATTAGTTTCCACACAGTACAGGTGGGCGGATATTTCCATAAAATCATTTTTTTTTGTAGGTGAGGTGTCGTGTCTATCCCTGGGGTACAGTGGAGACGGATAGTTTGGAGCACAACGATTTTCAGGCGCTTAAAACTCTCCTAATGCGCTACTTTATGCAGGTATGTAGTCGTGAATTCTGAAAATACCATCTACTGAACACTTATTAGTAGTGTTGTGATGTTTACGTTTGGTTATCGAACATCATCAGGCACACCTGTTACGAATGTCTGATTATTAAAGGTTGTAGCAGTGTGAATCAGTTCGGACACGTCCGTTAATATTGAGGTCAACTGAAGGTATCTATCTAGTTTGTTAATCCTCAATCATTATTGATAGGATCTGATTGACGTAACATACACCACTCATCACGCCAACTACCGGACAAACCATCTGCTGAACATCATGCAAGCAGCCAACTTCAGTCTGCAAGACGGGCGCGAACCGCTGAGCCAATTGGACGCAGAACGACACGCGCACCAGCTTAAATTGGACAGGCTTGTGGAGGAGATGAACGAGGTGTACGTTGAGAAGGTAAATTCTCCACCAACTTCTATTCCGACAAGTCAGTAAAAATGACTACTCACTCAAATAAGTAGCTATTCGCGAGTGCCCTCCGTGTGTTGATAGGTACGAGAGCGCGAAAAACGTTTAAAGGATACTGAACGCGAAATGGCAGAGAAGATAAGGCAGATGCAGCAGCAGCTGGAAGTGGACACGGAGAACCTTGCTGCGGCACGTCAAGCCTTCAACGATGAGCGCCTCTCCTGGGAAATTGAAAACCGCGACTACGCTGACGTGAGTGCTTCTACCCCTTGATTATATGCATTAACGCCTACTATATACTTTTAAGTAGCGAGTTATACGGTCGCAATTTTGACCACTTGGGGCGTTGAAAGCTTAACTGTGCGCTTCAGCAGGAGAACGTGATTCCAAAGCCAACACCCAGGCCCTCGTCGCCTGGTTTTCTGTCTAACAAATGGCGGAAATTTCGGTCTCGTTCGCGAGCACGCAACCATCGCAAGAAAACGTCGCCTCAAGCTGGCCGCAGTTGGAGCTGTCATTCAGTGCCGGAACACGCTGGTGGTTGTTCCACACGACGTCAGCCTGTTGCCAGTGGTGCGTGGCGTTGTAGTCGACGTCCACTGCACGTTCCACGTACATGTGCCGTCAACGTGGCTGCCGAACGCAAGACCACCACGTATCCACGGTCGATTCTGAGGGAGAACAACAATAACAACCACGGCTGGCGCGCCACCATCTACTGGGACGCTGTGGGTGCACCTCTGGCCAGAATGGAAGGACAGTAGAGGTGTCCGGAGTTTACTGGTTATTTGTTGGTTCACGTGACAGCGTTGTGTTTGCGTTTAAAATTACAGAAGTTCGTTTCGTTAAAAGTGGAGCCAATTTCAACAATTTTCATGTGTTAAAATGCTCCTTGACGTTGTTTTGACTTTGTTCTAGTCCGTTTGTGGTTCTACGGAGAAGCTCGAGAAGTTAAAGAAGCACCGTCGCGGGTTGTTTTGAACATTCAGAGCCATCTTACCCACACCCACACCACTTTCTTGTTCATTGTTTTCATGCGTTTACTTATTTATTTTAAGTAGTTCTTTTTTTCTAGCCGCCATTGTCTTCCGCTCATTCACTCGTGTTTCTTGCAGGATAGCCAAGCACACGCGCACACACACCAAAAAGCTGTGATGATTTTATCCTCAAGTATTGATTACCTGTGTGGTCCACCCGGACACTTCTGTCTCCCCACCTCCCCCCAATCTCGTGTAAACCTCTTTTGAAGTTGCAACAGTCTCATTAATTCTTTGGATGATTCGCTTTCGCTAGTTTGCGCATTTGTAACTTCCAAAAATATTGTTTAAAAAACAGAGTTTTTGTTAAAAACAAATCGATACTGCATCGCCGTGGATTAAGTGAGGAAATAAAATCGTTTTTTTAGCGTTTTAAAACGCGAGTCACGTGAAACGGACAAGGAGACATTTTCCGTTTGCGAAAATTCCGTCACTTTGACCACGTTGTGCTTGCCTTATTCAGAATTCTGAATGTTTCAACCTCCGCATCCACGCACACACCCACTGCACACTTGTTCGCAATCCTGATTTAAACTGAAACTGGATGATTCAGCAGTGTGTTGTTTTTTTGCAAAAGCAAATATCTAAATTCACGCAAGTAGTAGGAATGCCACGTGTACCAAGGTTACCACAGCCTGTGTGCTTTTTGTCCGATAAGCACTTGTGGATTTAGAAAAAAATCCGAACGACACTTAGCAAGAAAAGCGAACCATCGTTGATGGAGAGTCTGTCACTCTGGCCTTTTGTTTTACCGGTTGTGGCATTTACGTTGGCGGCAACTTTGAAATGGTTGCACTTTGTGAAAATGCCAGTGAGGCTGTTTAGGATACCATGTGGATGATGATAGCGATAACACTTTCGTGTATCAGGTTTGCATTTTTATGTTTCAGAAGTGCACATTTGACATATCTGTGACTCCCTGTAATGTACATGCTGCTTACATTCTGATCTCCGCCAAAAAACGCGAAATTTAAACTCAACTTCAATGCCTTTGCAAGTTTCCTTCTAGTTTGGATTGGATATCACTCGTGTTGCCAACCAATAAAAATAAAGATTGGCCATTTGCCATTGGTTCTTTTGACGTGCGGTACATCCGACTGTCGCTGAGACAAGCGTGAGAACTCGGCCTCAGTGACCAATAGGAATAAGAGCATACATAAATTGAGCACGGGCCAATGGGATTTGTACGTCGACTGTGTGGGCAGGGATGAATCGACGGTATGGGATATTTTTCGGCTGCCAATTAGTGTAAGAAAGAGCTACAGCTAATGCTGAATTCTTCAGCAGATAAGCTGTTTTAGTAGTGGGAGATACACTAGCAAATTTAACGATGAAATAAATTTTCATGTGTTGGCGAAGGATGCTTTGTTCCCACTATTAACAGAGGAAGAGCAACTGCATTAATTGAAACTGCCTGTGCAATTACACAGAACAGTATTCTTTTGTGCTTCAGTGAACCAGTCATTAGGCAAAATATTCGGAGCTTGTAGAAACCATTAATCTTATGAAAAATTTTGCCAACTTCCGGGTCACTAGCATGTCCACCGCAAATTCGTCGTTTTTTTAACGACAGAACCAACGACTCTTCGTACTCTGCGTCAAGTGCTTATGCGATAGCAATGAGGTGTGGCGGAATTGGAAATTTTGTGAGAAGAGACTGTCATGAAATCAATAACTCGACTCCAAAAACGAATTTAGTTCATAATTTCACGATTTTTAATCAATTTATTTTATTTAAAGAGCTACAGAACTGAAATTTGCGGCAAAGTTGTTTTAATTTGTGCAATCGCACTCTGTTCTTAAATTATCGATTTTTGCGCAGCTGACCAAATCGCGTGATCGATATTCAGCCCAAACTCGTCGCCCGCTGTTCAAGCCACTGAAAAGAAGTCCATCGGAGCAAATTAACTTCCCCATTTCGTCTGATGTGTGAAGAAAATTGTTGTCAAATTCGCAGGGCAATTTAGGCTAAACATTAAGTACTCTGCGCATTTGATTGGCTGAGTTTGAGGCAGATTGCGCAGCAATGTCAAAAGATTGTGGCGTACTCACGGCTACAAGCTAGAGGGACATTCAAGGATAGAGAGGAAAGTGCGTCGGGAAACATCGAATATCGCTTTTTTAGTAAAAATCGGTGTAAAAAGACACTGAAAACACAATTGGTCAATAATTCAGGTACGCACACCAAACATTGACAAAAAATCACTCCCTATTGGTCAACTCCAAGTCACTTTGGGTTGGATGACTGAAAAATTTCGTAGATTACGAAAGTCAGGTTAGAATTGAAACTGTAATGTTACATGCACATCATGTTATCTTGAATGCGTTTAAACTGGGATCGACGCTTCAGATGATTCCGAAAATGGTGACTTTATTTACCATGACAAACTTCATTCTGGGTTGATTTCAGGCATTGAAAATGGTGCCATTTATGATTTGCTAAACACTAGCAGTTCTGTTGTAGGCTCTAGCATGTTGCCTTGAACCACGCCGGACCGCTGATTTAATCCTGGCCCGATTACGCTTCCCTGATGCCCGCGATGAAGAAAAAAGAACCAAAAGGATGTTGACACGACCATTTGCTTCAAAGCTCAACCACGATGGTGTATTTGTGTCGTGGATGGGGTATACGCGTGTGTATTTATACCTCAGATATCTGTCATACATGTGCTAACATCGAGACCTGGGTGTGGGGATAATCCAGGATGAATGTTCTTGCTAATGAGGAGGGAGTTGAGGATCCGCGCGGCTGGCAACATTTTGCGAAGTGGAGAAACCTGTGTCAGATGCTGGAGTGGACGAATTAAAGAGTATGAATCAATACGATTTACAACAGCGAAGAGATTATAAAGGGACTGTGTGCCATCACTTTGGCTGTATTTCGACATTCATAACATCTACGGTTAAATTTTAAAGTCGCATCCAGTGACTAATCGGATTGGCATCGATGTTCCCTCGTCAAACTTTCGTGGATTTTGAAATATGGTTGTGTGTACTGCTGCAACATGGAACTAGAAGCACGGAATCGAAAGAGCGAAATCCTTAGCTTGTGCTGAAATCGTTATGTCGGATGAGATTGCTGAGTTTGTTCCATGGATGCGCTGCAACCAACTATTCCACCCATAATATCCAACCTTCCACCAAGACCAAAGCCAACAGACGCTGTAAAATTGTCAATTACTGGAGTCGTGGATTCGTCAACAACACGTTGTGTGCTGTTTTGACTTTATTTGTTTTGTTGGCTACAAAAGATTGTGGTTCTGTGGCAAAGATGTGACGAATTCACCCGTTATGTGGTTGCAAATCTTTGAAATTATATTAGAAATACTGAAGCCTCTTGTTTGGCACGTTAAAAGCTTTCCAGAATATGGGAAGACAATAGTCTGTGCGCACGGTTTTGCTGTATACACCAAGGACCCGAGTGCAAGATGGGGCTAAAGCAGAAGTCGAGGGAGAAATCATATGGATGTGCAGATATATCTTTGGGCTACCTGAGTTCGTTGGAGGACGCTGACAACCCAACGATCAGACGAACACGTTCAACTTGCCAAGTAGTTCCGCTTAATTCTTAACTTCTCATTTCGATCAGCTATAATTTGGAGTGACAAAGATCATCATTTTAGAAGACATGCTATCTACACAGACAAAATGCTGCCAGAAACCTTCCTTTATTACTCCCACGTAACCAAAAAATATGTCAGTTGAAGACGTCATTCCTGGCTTCAAAAATTAGCAAAAATTGCCGAAGGTGAAACTAACGGTCGAAAGAGGAAAAGCAAAGTGAACCACAACCGCTGGTAGAACTCTGTGAGCGACATGACTGCAAAGACGTCAACAAACAATTGTCACCGAAATAGTAGGCTGATGATAGCTGGAAAACAATAATTACCGCTTAGAAATTATAAGCTCCGTACGCACAAATATACGATGGGCGAGATTAAGTCGTAACATAGTGCAGTAGATGACGTGTTGGGATAACCGAGGAAACGCAGAGGAATAAGGAATGCTAGAGACTCTCCAACGTGTCTTCAAATGCCATGGACATGAATATACAATTTCTTTCGTTGACAATGATTAGTGATGAAACTGAGCTAGCAGGCTGATAAGATTTCCTGTCAAAACTACAATCCCCTTTGGTCGCTTTGTCTGCATCCGTGTTATGGACAAATTCAATTTGTGGAAGCGTTGAGACGGCGTCTCAAAATCACGATTTCCTTAGCACAGGCAGTACGGCTTCACGATAATCATCAGTCAGCCATGTTACGTGGCTTTGAGAAGTCCTTTTGTCCAATCTGGGTGTTAAACTTTGTCTAAGTTAACCGTGGACAGGTAGAACGCGATGGTAGTGTCGCAGACTGTGAAGTACGAGCGCAGCGATGCGCTTACTAGCCAATGCAAAGCGGTTGCCCTTAAACTACCAAAATTATTTGCTTTCACCACATGATATTCCCAAATTACGACATTGAATGAAGTGAAACCGTGAAGTATTTTTTACAATGAAAGATCAAAAACTTGCACTCAGGTGAGACCGATTGTGCAGATAAGGGGAGTACTTAATCGATCGTTAAAATTCAATTCAACGATAAAATATTTTGTATTTTATTTGAAAAATACCCTATGCACGAAATTTTGCAATCATGCAAAATTTTCCTGTATAAGCCAACTCATGAAAATACTGATATTTATATTCTTGGACACTCGAGGCAATCTAGTGCCCTAAATAAAGCAGATCATTTTTGAAGAATTTGTGTCGCGTTATTATCGTATTTAAAGCAGAATAGTAGAAAGTAACAATTTCAGCATCGATCGCTAACACTGGCAGGAAGTTGTGGCTGCGTCACGTATGCGACAATTTGGGAAATCTTGACTTCGTTTCTCCTCATGGACAATGAGGTTCTGAGATAAAATGTGATGTAGAATTTACGGTTAGATTTGCAGTAAAGTGTGCTTTTATGAAATCGACATCCTCCGGATGTAAATTACTTGATGCCACGGTGCACACAACTTCGCCGTTTCAAATCAGCCGCACTTGCATCTCATTGGCTCATGGCCACGTTGAGTTAAAAATCAATTCTATTGGCTGTCGAGCGTGAACGACTACTTCTAGTTCTTTTTAGCGCTAAATTTTTCATTTTCAACATCCATCAAAGCGACAATGCTGTGTTCCTGCACCTGGCACTCAGAGGTCAATAGGTCATGTTTAATTAAATTACCAAAAGGTGACTCATTCGAGCGCCGGAGGTAACGCTAATCGACACCAATAAAATGCTTCATTATTTAACAAAAATTAAGTTAATCAAGTTAACGCAATTTGAGAAATTTCAGAGGTTAAATTTATGCAGCTGGTCAGCCAAGCTATTGTAACTCTAACCAAGCTGTCTTTTAGAAATCTGGGGTTTGAACTAACAGTAATCCTCAGACCGCAGTTATGACTAGCTGGCATCCGGCGTAAAAAGTTTTGATTGGTTGGCAATGAAGCAATTTTGGTTAGATTAAATACTCATTAAATTTCTGGTACTCATCAGTAAAGAATCAAACAAGGCACGATTGCTAATTGCGATCATTATAAGCACAAGATTTTTTTAAACTTGCTTGCAAAAAATTAAAGAAACCTGCCACCTGATTGGACAATGACAGTGCATCAAGGGAGTTAAATGTAGCATCGCCCACTTACCAATTGCCAACCGTTTTCATCGATTGTCGGATAGTGATTGGTGGGTTCGATTTAAGCAGATAAGTATACGCAGCAAAATAGTTTTCACCAATCAACTCTCAAATCTCTCAGCTATCGATTTGGCTTGAGCCAATTAACCACAACTGACTTCACGAGAAGCATTCTGCAACTATTAATTGGTTGGTTCGAGTAAATTTCTTTCAAATAACCCAGGATGGCACTATTGTGTTTCTAACCGAGTCTAAGACATTTAATGACATTTCGGTGCAGCCATTGACCTTTATTGCATAACTCGCAGAAATGTGTTCACTTGGCCATCATCTTCCTTAGTGTGTCACCCAGAATGAGCAAAAATGTTTGCTTCTTATATTCCGCAATGAACCTGCAACTACAAGCCAATTTACGTTTGACCTGCTTCGAAAGCAATCTTGACGAACTGACCTACAAAATTTGTTTAAACAAGCAAGAAAATAACATCACTTTTCCGACAGTCACGCAAAATCCGGTAACGTTTTCGAGAAATGAGATAATATTGGGATGTTTGTGTTGTTGATTTGTATCAAATGCACTAGATCCTGCTGTAACAACCCCCCTAGTAGCTACAGGGTCAAAGTTGGATCGATTTGAATTCACTAGAAATGATCTGCATAGTCTGACTCACTTTGGACCGTGTTATCAGCACAGTCCAACGTTGTTACGGCCAAGGCTGCCAATCACATGGACGGAGACATGCTGCAATTCGTCTAAGAGGCCACATGTTCCAAGATATCCTTCCAATCCATCGATCAATCCACGTATGCCGTTGGTGTGGACAAGCATGGAATGTCCCGTCTATAATCGTGTTCCATGTGTATCAAAAGCATCGATTTGAATGCGGTCCAATGCGCGATCGGAAATTCAAGGACACATTGAACACGAGCCAATCAAATTGTAGAATGGAGTCAAATTGACTGACAACTCAACACACGAAGAACGCTGTCAAATATGTTAAATGATGTGTTTATCATGGAAGGAAAAACCAATTTCTGTCGGTTCGAACGCAGAAATGACTTATAGGAAATTCGTAATCGGTCACCTTGCATTCGAATGCTGTCATATATCTCCATGGTTATTTTTCAGTTAATTTACTGTGAAGTATGATTCAATTTAATCTAACACAGATGCAGTGGATAATGGATGAAGGACTATCTCAATAACCTTAGCATTTTATGATTTCCTCTCAAAAAGCGCAATTTATACTTTGATAATTTGACCTCTAGTAATTATTTCTACTAATTTTAAAATTAATTATTGGCTTCACTGATATCCTGAACACGATCTCAGAAATCCTGCAGTGTAATTGTTCGATGTTTGTCACAAAAATCAGAATTTTAATCCGATTGAATTTGAGTGATAATTCAAAAGTATAGCAGGTTGTCCAATTACATTTTTGACTGTTCTCGCCTATGATTGGTTGCGTTTAGTGTATTTTCTTGTGTAGTAACTTACTTCTAATTGTCTCGGCCCAGAACATTTCAACAGCGCTGGAAAACTTTCATGGGCCCTGCATAGACCTGTGACTCCACCATTACTACAACACCGACGACACATTTATCACATTTTTTTGAATGAAATACGCAGAAAAGTGCTATGGATGTGTCCGTTAACCAGATCACTGAAGTTGTGCGCGGCTGGTTTGGACACACGCAATTCCTAGTATTTTCTACGAGAGATTTCTACAGTCCCACGTTTAGTATTAGGTTAATTGGGTAGTTTCCAAGAAATGACACTGTGATTGCAAGTAGTGCTACTGTGCTTCCAGCTTGATAACCTGGGCTAAATTAGCAGTTTCTTGAACCACCAGCGTCTTGCTTGCAGCTGATTGGCTGAAATGTTCGATTTATCCGGAAGATAGTTCACCATCAGATTAGTTTGGCAAAAGGTGCTTAAGTGTTCCCTTTTATTTGTTTTTTGCGAACATTCAGAGGTGTAATTTCAATTTCCAAATCCTACTACGTTATCTGTTGTATCCCCTTGGCCTAGCCTCTTCCATATTTATCACCTGCTTCGTTCATTGTGAAATTATTTGTTCTCGACAATATTTTCACCTGTGGAAGAGGTCAAATGCCATCTTCTAACAGTATCTGAAGACAAATCATGCCTTCTATGCCAAAAGGTGATTCAAACCTAAAAAGAGGTTGGTAGACAATTGTAGGAAAGGCTAGATCGCGCGCAAATTAACTAATAAGCGCCCTCCTCAATGCAATTAATTTGGTCTTAAATTCTCTGCGAATGATTTAAATCACCCAATAGAAATAACGAACGTAGTTTTGACATCATTTTTGCAAATTTCCTATTGGATGCCTTATCCACAATATTTTTTGCATTGACTGCGTCCTGATCCTTTACGATGATAGTCAGGTGTTTTATTCAACACGTCGCGGTACCCAATTGCAGAACGGCGTGATTTCAAATTTGAATCGACACTTTACTTCCCGGGTTTATTGATTAATGCCTTGGAAGTGCGGAATCGCCTTTCAAATATTTTTATTATTTACCTAAGTGGATAAGTAGACAAAATGTAGGCTAACAGCTGCACCAAATGCAATGCAGTCCGTTTTTGCCGAATTCAAACGTCGCGCCTTCCATATTTAAAGTTAAATTATACTTTCTTGGTTGCTATTATGTCCTTGAGATCAGAAAAACATTATCGACGTCATAGCTAACCATATGTATAACACTTATAGCCTGCTTTGAACACACAAGCTGTATGACTAATCTTTAACAGAATAAAGTATAATTGGCCAATCAGAGTCGTCAATTTGAACTGCAATTGGCCAATGGCAAACCGGGGCCAGGTTCGGTGTCCACACCTATTCCCCCTAACCAATTACCCAGGTAATTGCCTTGTCATGACGTCACTGGTAGTCGAAAAGAACCATCGTGCTTATGCCACTCCGCGTGCAGGCTAGCACACACGCACACACATCCCAAATTCGCGCGTTCATGCTCATTGGCTGAATCGTATTGGCGCGCTTAATCATATGACCATCGTGTTGGCGCCAGTCGAACTGGCTGCGCCATGTGGGTAGACATAATGTGAGAGGATCGGGAGGTCCAACGATGGCCGGACCCCTTTTTCGAAAGGACTGCTTTCAAACCCCCAACGTACCCCCTCCACTGCACTTTGGACGAACAAAACGCAACCCCGGATTGGGATTAGTCGGGCCCCAGTCGCCAAATTCCACCAACAGCTCCTCCACGGAATACAGCATGTTTGGAAAAGTGCAGCGTTCAAACACTGGTGGATATGTGATGCCACATCAGCTACCATCTGTGTCAACATTCGCTGGAAGTCCAGGGGTGCAAAGAGGTCATGGCTGGAATTTACGCACGTCACCTAAGAACCCTGTTCGACGAATGAATTCTTTGAATACGGGTATGCTCACATTTATTGGTTGGTGGAATTTTTAAGACTGGTTTCGTAGGGTATTGATTAGTGAGATCCTCATTGGCTGATTCAAACAACCTCGTTAATTGAATTGGTGGTTTGTCTGTATCAGATCAGGTGATTTTCTGGCAAAATTTGTAGAGATGATTCTTTAAAAAATTATCTGCTTTCACAAAATAAGACTAAATTATCCAACTAAGTGATTCGCTTTCAACAATCGGAGTTTAGTTTGATAAATTTGATTGGGTGGAAAGTCAGTAGTAATTGTATGATATCTTGGTGAGAATTTGATATCTTTGCCTGAACGGCCACCCTAGGCAGTCTATTCAATGTACAGAAATGGCATTTTTCCCGGACAAAGTTGTGCATTCTGTAAATGTCCGTTTCGTGCTGCCAAGGTGTGCATTTATACCTCATTCTGCTTGACATTCACACAAACTTTCTGCAAACAGACACGCCTGTTTTTCTGTGTCGTGCGTTGCAAAATAAGCAATCAGGAGATTGGTTCTGGGTTGGGGCCAGGCCCACACTAAAGTTGGTATTTTTAAAATGGCGCGCGAAATCGACCATAATTGGTTTTTTGTGGAAAAAAATTAGTCTTTTTGATAACCACTAATTGTCGCCGGTACTTTCAGTATGGTAAATTGATCAAAACTGCAAAGAGGATGTGTGCAAGCACTGATCTTTTGCAGCCAAGCGTACAAAATTTGTGTGATTTTTTTAAAGTCCAATTTTTTCACATAAAATTAAGTCTGGAATTCCTCACTCACGACACACTGCAAATTCGTAGTCTTACACACTCACTCGTTGTTTTCACGTTGCGAATGTCGCCACATCGGAACGGTTCCGTTTGTTTTACTGTATCGAATGACCTAACTTGCCTTTTCGTCATCGCAGTTGGACCATCGGGTCATTAGACACACGTGTTTGCTAAATCTTACATATCACGTCTGTCGTGGTAGCTCTACCACCGATGAATGTGGAACAACGTATCGATTAGTGAGACACGCGTCATTGGTTAATTAAGTCTACCAAATTTAACCCACAAGCTCATGTCAATTTCCAAACAACCTACATGAGAGGACTTCTGTCCAGACGCACCAAAAATGCAAGATAGTCGATGGTAGATATGGAATCTTTGTAAAAATTTGACTCGTCCTCCTAATTTTTATGACTGTGCCTTAAAAAAATTATTGATTTTGTCCTAGTAGAAATTTTCTACTCATAATCATTGATTATTTATTGAACTAATCAGGTTGCGTCCTTGACACAATTATTCATTTGCTCAGCTGTTCAACAGCCAATCATAGAACACATGGGTCAAAGGAAATTAAAAAGAACTGTTGCATTCTGAGTAGTTCACTTAGTTCATGGCTTATCTTCAGAAGTTGACTATGCGTAATTTTGATAATTAGGGATTGCCAGAGCAGCCTTTTTAATTAAATCTGTCTAAATATTCGAGTTACGAATTATCAAATATCGGTTTCCTTACACTTAACGTAGATAAAAATGAGGTTTTTAACGGCTCGAATTTCTAAACATCGCAGCTCTGCGAAGTGATTGGATGTGACATAAAATTGCTTATTTGTGGACCCTGATTTGCGTCACGAATTCAAATTCTGCGGAATTTGTGTGTGCATTTGCGTTTGTATTCAGCAACTGTGCACTTTTGCCAATTTTACGAAGTTATAAATCATTCATACGTGTTTGAGGAACCATTTTTGGAATCGGTGTAGTACATCGTTATTCATTTCGCACAACAAAATGCATCGTAGTAACCTTGAACTCAATTGGGAAGTTTAACACTTTCAAAGAGAAATGGACCAATAGGAACTACGCGGTCGAATTGAAAATGGGAGTAGTGTGCATGGAGGAAGGCAAATGGTTTAGAGTCGTGAGGAATACCTACTACCCCGACGGTAATGTAAGCACAGATTGCTTGGGGTTAAAATAGTGGCGCACTTCTTCAGCTCCACGAAAACTGCATAAAGTTTACTTCACAGAATATCACACTCAACATTCACACCCACTTTGTGCACGAAATGACACTTTTTTCCCAAAATACAAAAGTATACTTTGCAGGTTGTTAGCACCTCCCGTGTAAACATTTATCATGGAATATGTCGTTTTTAAACAAGTGTGTCGTTAGTAAACTGCACACAAGCACACGCCGTGTTAACACAAAAAGGCTTTGTCACACGTGTGGAGATGACTACAAGGCATATCCTTCTTCTGATTTATTAAATATTGCAAAATTCAGATAAGTGATTAAATTATGGATTTATTTGTTAAAAGTAGCCTTCTTTTATGAAGAAAAAGTCGTATTATAATGCTTTGAACCACGTAATTATTTTGCACCTTGTCTATCAGGAAAATTGTTTTAATGCATACGAGAGCGGCACACATATGGAACTAAAAAATCAATTTTGCGACCTAAGTTGACTGGTCGCAGAAAGTCAAATCTGTGATATAATGATTGGGTTCTGACTCGCTACATCGTTGTCACTGGTCGACAAATTTGAAGAGGGTGTCGAAAATTGAAAAGAATTGGGGCTCAAACAATGACAGTGACTTCAAGTCAACGATGTATTTAGTTTAGACACATTTTTAAAATGCTATTATTTTTAGTGATCGTAACCACTTTCGGTTGGTTAAAAATGTAGTACGCCTGTGCCAATCAACGTCATTAATTCGATCATGTTCTGTCCAATCACAATGATCATTTAAAGAGCCAACTCAAGGTCACCTGTCCTATCCTATATTCAAAGGATGGCAGTTTATCCTTGTGTATTTGCATAATTTGATAGAGTCCGCCAACTGCGTGTAAAAATTACATCTGGTACTATTTAAAGCAAATTTCACCACATGACACTACTTTTTAACATCCCTACATGGCTACTTTTGCAAAACGTACCATAAGAAAGCTACAGCATGCTGGCAATTTCTGCTGCAAATTTAGACCATCGTCCCATTGGCTGCGATGTTGACATTTAAATCGATATGCAATCTGATTGGTTCTCGTGAATTCGGAATTTTTACACAAGATTCATTTTTCCAAACACTACAAAATTTGTGGAATTAAGTATTTAAGTCACATTTGATTAAAATTCGTGCAATGAGTTGCTTCACACGCCAATTCGGCATCTGGCGATGCGAGTTGATATTTAGGTCGAAAATTTGTTGTTGGGTATGCCTAGGTTTTCTTAAAATAGGATATTTTAACCAATAAGATTAGAGCGGTTGACTTGAACTTGGCAAACTGATGCGCTTGGACAAAATAAGCGGTAATTTGTGGAAAAATCCTAGCTTACCCAAGAATAACTCGAATTGTTCCTGATACTTCATTGATTATAATAAGTTTTAATCAGTATCGAGGTTGTGATTAGGGATTCCACGAAATACCCTTATTGTTTCTTTATGCTCAGAATTTTGGCGGCATTTTACTTAGGAATTCTGAATAAATTCCTACTTGATAACTAATTAACTAACTTGATTAAGGTACAGAATACGCGAATTCTTCAGGAAATTGACTCCATGTCCTCTTTACGCACCGAAAATCGATAATTGAATATCATGTGTGATGAGGAGTTGTGTTAGCAAGGTTGTAACCTTTTTGGTTAAATCCAGCGCGTCACTCTGATTGGTCGATTGCGGTAAATCGGATAACGCCTGAAATATCAGATTAATTGACCAAACGTGGTAAGTTCTAGCGGCCTGAGGTGACCGTTATCGCTTTCAACTGGCTGTGAATTAATGCGGTTGTTCGCTTTCAACTCTACACCTGCTACTTTGATAAATCTAAACAAAAGCCGATGGGTTACATGAACCACTAAAAATAAATATTTAGGTAAGTTCGTCTAAATTACGGCCCAACCTGCGTGGCTGTTATAGGCACTGAATGCCTTCCAACTACTTTAAAGGTGGCTGGTTTTTTAAGCCTTCCTATTGGTCAAATCTATTGTCCCACAACCCCAACTTCAGCATGACCTTGGTGAAACAGACAGAACAAAATCCGCCAATCAGAGTGCTTTCTTTGTGTTCGCAGAGTGGACGAGGTCTCGGAGCCTGAAACCGCGGCACTACGAGATTGTTCGAAGATCGCGAAACGGTCAGGCAAATGCAATCCTCACACCGCGTCCGTGCCGTCAGTTTGACCTCCGTGGAGACAGTGATTACGAGACGCCTGAACGAGTGCGCGAGAGAACGTTGCGTCTCTCCCAGAGTTGCTATCACCCAAACGAGAGACCTAGGCTGTGGCAGGGGGAGTCAGTTAGGTCAGGGGGCTCTGAGATAGCCAATAAACATCGAGGTTTGAGCGCTGACGCAAATCACCACGCATCACCTGATCACCAACGTCCCATCTCACCCAAGTCTTTCTCGTCATGGCGACAATGCGCCACTAGCCGAGCAGTGGACGCGCCTCCAGACCGCAGGGGGCGTTTGGAGAGGCTGCAGACGCCCCACTTGGCTCTTGTTGGGGAAAACAGTCAAGCCACAGACGTAGGTCAAGTTCACAGGCTTTCGTGTGATTGATTTTAATGCCTGTTATACTTGACACCACGAAGCGTTTATCAACTGGTTGTGGGTGTCTGAACATACTCCTTAGATCGTAATTTTCATGACCCGTTTGTGATTTGTGCGCTGTGCACGTGAGCGTGACGAACCAAGTGCGTGTACACACAGCCACCGTTGCTCTAATTACCGACCAATCAGCGTGTCGCCCTCAGTTGTTACGATTTCGCACAAACACACACACACACATAAACAGATTATTGCAGGGTCCACGTTTCATCTCATTTAGCTAACGTAAACCACCGGGATTGTTTTATCGCGTACGTTGTTCACAATTCCTAATTTGTAATTTACATGAGAGAGGAATTTGAGAGATCATGAATTTTGGTTGAGTGGTTAACAATTTGAAATGGCCGGGTGACTTGGTCTGTTCAGTAAAACAAATGCTTCAAGTTAACTTTTTCTTGCCAGAAAGGCCGTGTTGAAATAAGCTGCCAATTGACCGATGGGATTTTCTTAATACCATCCGCCAGGTCTATGAGACAGAGGGACCAGCGGTAGCATCGAGTCTGCTGGAAGCCCTGAGAGAGTTGAAGGTGGCCGAAGCCGAACAGCTGGACAGGACGCAGTTAGTCGAAGCTCGCCGCATCACCCTGTTTGACCTGATTGCAGGGAAAGAGCGCAGACAACGTGCTCGTTCGCCACCGCCCGTTCCACCGAAGCCCACACGCAGGACAAACAGACCACACCAGGAGGTGACGCCGGGTGTCAGGGACGAACTAGGGATGAATTCGTCGCACGTCAAGGACCCCTCTAGCTCCTCCACCATTCCCAAATCCGTCATCAACTTGCAGCCTTCGATGTTGTTTGTCGCTGTGCCGCCTCCCTTGCCCTCTCCCCCGAAAACCGCTCTTCTCCGACAAATCGATTTCAAAGGAAATCATTCACAGACGGCAAAAATTCGTGATTAGTAAGTTACAATCGATTTGGGGGCGAAATTAGTTAATATTACCTTACCATTTTCCCCCCAACTATTAAAATTACCTAGGTTTTTAAAGTACAATGGAAATTTGAAATAATTTTATTGTCACCTCCTCGTCTGGTACGCTGAGTAATCCCTCCTTTTTTGCATTTAGGCATAAATGCCATTTTCATTGCTTGAAACGAGTTAACGGGCCAAAATAGTGCCGAGGTTAATTGTTACATCAAAATATTTTACAGACATGAAGATTATGCGATTTCTGGAATGTGATTGGTCAGAGCTGTCTATTTAAATCAAAATCCAACTCCATTCAATAATCAATTGTGCATTTAGCCTGACATTTTTTCGCAAATGATAATTTACAGCTTGTCTACTTCCATTTATATTTAGCACATTATTTCAAATCACCCTCGCACATCTGTGGTCGACCATTACCTTCATCTGATCAGTAAAAACAATTTTTTTCCAGTTGACGTAGAAAGTGATTGCAGTACATCATTCATCCGCGTTAGCCAATGAGATCAAAGTGTAGTCGATATGAAACTAGATGAGAATTCTGGCCTTCTTACCAATAGTGTTTCACAAGTTGACGTTATGTAGCACTTCGAGAACAAGACATTTTGGTTCAAGCGTACATTTCTGGTCATTTCAAACCCATTTTTTGCAAGTTGACGCAGATAGTTATTGCAATACAATAACCAACTCTGTTAGCCAATGAGATCAAGGCGTAGTTGATGTGAACTAATGAGAATTCTGGCCCTCTCACCAATTGCTGAGGTTAGGTGGTTTCATGTTACATCACATATTCCATATCTGTAAGATGCGATGTAAAAAGTGCAATTACTATTCAGCGACCTTAATTACGATACATTTCTGCATGGCTGTTTTAGTAACGAACACGAAATCAAGGCAGACTGCGTGAAGCCTATCAGCGAGAATCCATTTCTTAAGCGGGACCGCTGTCAAACAGAAATCGAGGACCGATGTTTACCCCAGGTACGAATTTCGGTGTCCACTAGTCGTCTTTTCTGTGCACGAACAGTCACACGTAGAGATGTGATGGCGGTCTGACGGTTTTGTGAATTGATTTAATGCTACGAGTCACATTACCTCAGACGCTATTGGTTGGACTTGCGACTGTCCAATTAAATTGCTCAAACATGAGCCCTTTTCGCGATCTATCGATTGCATTGATTAGCCTAGTGACAACGCTTTTAGCGAACCAGAAGGACTGCAAAGGAGATGGATGTGGTCACCAAGGAAATCAACACAACAGAGAGTTCAGTGTCACCGTGTCTTAGCGGAGAAGGCGATGGTGATAAAGACGAGTTTGAGAAGACTTCCACATCCTCGGAGTCAATGGAATGGCCCAAGCCAGATCAAATCACCGCCTGTCCCAAGTCCGGACAGTGCTCGCCAGACACGCCTGATGAATGCCTCCACAGACCTCAGCGACGAGGACAATGCAGTCAAGGCAGTGTTCGTGACGATGTAATCGCAAGTCAGTCTGCTAAATCTTGTGTTGATAGTTGAGGGTTGACTGTTGACAATCAAACTGCATTCCTGTAGATCGTGGTCTGGTACGAGTGAGTCTGGTAGCCGCTCCAAAAAACCCGATACCTGTCGAGAATCAAAGCATTGCTGTGGATGCAGCCTCAGATACGAGCAGTAGTCAAGCGAGCACCGTGTTTAGCTACCCCTGGGATCTTCCGCCTCCTCATCTTCAAGCGGAGAGGCGACCCCGTGATGAGGCGAATGTGCAGAGGGTTGGTGGCGTCGCTGACGATGACGACAACGCGGTGTTGAATTCCACGCCGTCTTACAGTCTCGCGAAATGGGCCACGCTTCACAAACACATCTCGAGTGCTGGAGGTGCCATGAAGAGTGACTGCAGTTCCTTATCCGACGACAGCGCGCTTTCAGAGGAGGCCAACGGTGGTACCCTTTCAAGAGACGGCGTCGGATCAAAGGACGCCATTGAGGGACCGCTGTTGCCTTCGACTGGGTCCACGGACGTTGAAGAGGAGACGCGAGACTTCAGGAACGCGCAACAACAAAATGTACTCTTTTTACTAAGAATTGAACTAGTTCTTGGTGCTTCAGTCAGATTCTGATGTGCATCCCAGTATTTCGAAAAAATTGATTGCGAGGTATATATCGATTTTCTGAACTAATGACAAATCCCTCTTCATCAGACGATCCGTTTTTACCATAGTCAACAAACGCATCACTTGTGCTTAAATTCATCTGAAGTAATTGAGCGAAGTAGTTTGTTTTTCTACATTAAGTCTTTACCATTATCACAAGCAGAAATTCAGCCTCAGTTTTTGCTTGATTGGCTTTTCTGTTCAGCTGGCTCTAAGTTCTGATGAAGATGATGACGCTGATCGTGCGTGTGAGTCAGCCAATCAGGATGAAAGTAATCAGATTAGCGAGCCAATCATGAATCAGTCTGATGCCTCTGATGACAATGCTCCCGATTCTGACGAAGAAGCACTTGTGATTTTAAGTTCCATTTTTTTTCTTTGCTGGATAATTCGTGCTGATCCACATTGAATTCATGGGATTTTATGCCAACCAATCAAAATTTTGCAAATATTTGTTTTCCATTAAAACTGGTAATTAGAAAGTTACTGATTGAATATAAATCAATCCAAGCTTGGTATTACAATATCTATATCGATTATTTCAGATGCAGGATGCATTTACGATTTCTGGGACCAACCATTTTCACTAGATTTCATTGACCAGTCAATGATCAACAACACAATTTAACTCAAATCAAAATAGTTAAGTTTTTTTTCAAACCTTTAGCCCTACGCCATAGTAGGTGAGGAATCCAACGTCTATGAAAAGATATTAAACCGTGCTGCACCAAAGAATAAGCAGTCGCCCGATTTGGAAGCTCCGTCGAAGCCAAGTCATTGTAATTCCGGTGGTACCATTAAACCTTATGTTTGTAAGTAATTGTGTACTTATTGCATTTTAGTAGATGGTATTTCCACGAAAAGTCGTCAACAACATGGTGGCTTTTTTAGATGCTGAGGTAAAGAAGTCAGCAGACGTTCCCTTCACGAATCGCCTTACAAGTCCTCCAGTCCCACAGCATCCACTTAAGAGTGACCGGGAAGCGAGACTTTCATCTCGAACAAATGATGGACATTTTTATGAGATAATCGATAGTAATGCGCGGGAAACAGAGAACGTGAAACCGGTCAATGGGACTTGTCCGTCTTCAAATTCCTCTCCAGTTTTAAATGAACAGACACAAGACATCCGGGCCAATCAGCTTCGAGGCGCTGTCAGCTCTTCGGCTTCAAACGAACGCGGAAGGCACCTGGAAAGATTCATTTGCGGGTATCTGCGACTATCTGATTGTCAAAAGCGCATGATAGTTGTTTGTATTATTTTTTTTATTGGTAATAGTCGCCTGTATTAATTATTTTATTTGTAATACAACTTCAGGAGGCGCACAGCCAATCAGTGGTGAGGTAACGTTTGCCCAACGTCCAATGGTAATGCGTTTTCGTCGATTAACGCGTTTTTTTCTATTCTTTTTAGTCTGGTTAACGACAAAAAGTCGTCATTTTCTAAGCACGTTAACAAGTTCATTGAGTGTCAAAAACGCGTAATAGTTGCCTGTATTAATTATTTTATTTGTAATACAACTTCAGGAGACGCACAGCCAATCATTTTCGAGATGACGTTTGCTATACGTCCAATAACAATGCGTTCTCGTCGACTACCGTGTTTTCTCTATCCTTTTCAGCCTGGTTAACGACAAAAAGTCGTCATTTTCTAAGCACGTCACCAAGTTCGTTGAGTGTGCACTCAAGCAGCTGGAACAACCATGTGCCTCTAGACTGCAGCATGTACGTCCGCTTGGACAAATGTCGCACAATGATTTCTGTCCAGGCAGTGTCTTATCAGCAAGTTTATTTGTGATAATGAATGCACCTTAGACTAGCCTGCATCTTCACTCGATTTGATCTACTCATGGTCTTGTTCCAGATCCGACAATTTATGAATGGAGCACCACAATACCTACAGAAAGTGCACAAATTGGGTTTGAAGCTTGCAATTGAAGCTGAGTGCAGAGAGCTACGCGGTCTGCAGTATTTTGACGTTGGGGGTGAGCTGGAAGAACTAGCACAGTGGGCAACTCTGAGACCCCTGCACCAAAAAATAATTGATAATCTTGAACGCCATGGACCTGGGTACGCATTGGCAACAGAGTTTTGTACCATTTCAGTAGCAGTTCACCTAAATTGGTAACGAAAATCACGATTATTCTGCTGTCATAAATTTTAACCAATCAGCATGCGCTTTCTTTCAATTGGCTAGAATCAGTTGTGTCTGACCAATAGAATTATCACCTTTTAATCTGCTCTTTTCCTATTGGCTTGAACGCTGCAGGTCTATTTCGGTCAGAAGAGCCATCCGGTTTGCGGATTTGGTAAAAAATGACCACCTCAACAGTCCTTGTTTGAGTAAGGTGAGATAATCATTCAAAAATTCTATCCGTGACTGCTTCGGGCTGCTTAAATACATCTCACATTTAGGTCGATAGAGCCGATTTAGTCAAACAAATTTTAAAGCCAATCGAACAAATCTTCGCTCTTCTAGAAGGTTCTTTCAAACCCGCTACCAAGCTTGACTACCTAGCGCGCATTTTTCGCATCATCGATGAGCAGGTAAGTATATTTTTCCCTCCTGTTCCTAAGTTAGGTGTCCCCGCGATTCAAATGAAATCTTTAAATTTAATATCTGATGCTACACTCTCGCTTGACATGGCAGTTCGTTATAAGACTAATTAATGTGCTCAATCGATAATCAAAATCAGTAAAAAGAATGTCAAACTCAATGTGGCAATGAATCAGTAAAACACAGAGCAAAATGTACGCGGCTGATTTTACGATGGCGCGCATGTAGGATTAGAAAATTAAGATCATGAAATTAAAGATAACAAGTTTGATTTCGTCTAAAAAGCCCCCTTTAACACATCAGTGTGACGAACTTCAGTAGCACAAAGCTGTGATTGGTTGTGGACAAGGTATGATAAAAGTATTTCATTGGTGAATGACTTGCCCAATTGCCTTTCGCTTTTCAGATTCAAAATTCAACCAATCAGACACAAGCGCAAACAAAGAATGCGCGTGACGCGTGTGAGTTTATGAGCATCCCCTATCAGCGATTTTGCTCCGTTTTGCTGGCTGCATCTTGAAACGATGAACGGAGATATAAGCGTTGTCTGCGTTCATCTACTTTGTTTTAATTTGCAGTAAGAATCATCCTCTACGCAATGGTGTTTTCCCTGACGAGAATGCTGGCATTCTCGAGGCCAGACGTCGATGTGAGTCGCGTGGAGGTGCAGCAGCGTTACATCGAGGGCCTTATCTCGCCAGCTCGTCTGGCCGCAAATGCCGACGCCTGTAGACGTCTCACGGACCTCGTCTGTGTCCTGCGCTACGTGGACAGCTTCGTGCGATATCCACCTCCACCTGACACCATGCGCTTCCTCATCACGCATCAGCGAAATCCCAACGAAGCACCGACCACGTGGCTTGACACGGTTAGTGACTCTTACTCACTAACGCTTTAAGTAGTAGGTTGAAATTTTCCGTCAATTTCGCCAATCAGACTAGATATCTAGCCGGTTTTTGGATGGTCAGAAGTTGAATTAGCCCCCATTTTGTCTTCGTCTTTCTACTCAAGGAGTTCTTTAGCTCTCAGACCTTAAATAAGCTGCGCCGATCCTTCACCGATGACATCCAGGCGGCCCTAGCTCGAACCCCAGACACCCTCATTGATTCCAGCATGACGCGATCGATGCAGACGTGGGAGGAATCTCTGAAATGTGGAAGCGAAAGCTTCTACGAATGCAAATCTTCGATTGTCGTTCTCGCTGCAAGCGAAGCAGATCATCGTCTGGTGCCGTACAACATTCCCCTACGACCGAGTCTCACTGTTAGGGAGCTGTGTGAGCATTTTATAAAAATTGGTTTAATGTGAAAATTTGGATCATTACAAAAACGATTTTAATCAGAAATTGTTAGGAATAAAAGACAAAACAGCACAAATGATTGAAGTTAACAGAGGGAGGACTGTAGCTGTTGTAGAAAGAATGATAATTTGCATGAATATATCTCAAACTGTCCTATGTCTGGAGAGTTGGCGTGGTAACAATTATCGGCAGAGCAGGTATTGAAAAATTTGCTAATTTAATATATGATTTTAAATTGGTCAGATTTCGACCAATCAAAGGAAATTTATAATCCGTTCCCCTTTTAGGCAATCTGCTGGCTTTGAGGCAGCAAATTTTTGACCCCAAGGAATTCACCCTGTTCTTCCACTCCGCCAGTGGAGGTGAGCTCAATATTGAGTGTTATTCATAGCTTTTCGATGAAGCCACCTCATTGGTTCGTGGCCAACCAATCAGAAGTGTGGTGGCTGTACGATTGACAGACGCAATCAAAGGGCCTACTAAATGCCAGGTTATTTTTATTCTAGATCTTCCACTGCTGGATTCTTTGCACCTCCAACGATTTCTGGTGCAACAGGGTTTAAGTGACGCCCAGTCACCGAACGACGAAGGTCTGTGTTCGTTTTCCTCCTGTGGAAGCATCGATTTGATCGCGTCACCGCGACCCTCAACACCTAAAAGATCCACCTTCAGTAGGTTGTTTCGGCGTCGCAAACGAGTAGCGAGCACAGAGACAAACCTTTTCATGACTGATACCACGTCGGCACGTCAGCGCAAACCCTCCATCGATTGGAGTTCAGCTGACATGCCGACAGCTCCGTTTGTGTTGATCTACCGTCGACGAAGTACTGAGGCTGTGCTCTACGCTAGTGATCTCTTCCAGAGTATTCCGAGTTCTAGCAAATTGATTTAACTGTACATAACCAGACGTTATCTTGATTGGCGCGATGTCAGTTTGATTTATTTTGGTTGGTTATGTTGCCTTTATAGAAAAATCCGCAATCACGTGAGACTTTCAGAAGCATTTGTGTTGGTGACCAATCATAGACTGATCTCGGCGAACCAACCAGACTTTCCCGCTAAACATTTGGGCCATTATCGTCAAAGGCCAAAATTAATATGAGAAATTCAATTCTAAAATATCGAGCAACTACACTAACGTACCGTGTACACATTGCTACTGGTGCATTACATAGGGAACTATGAGTTGCTGTGGCTGAAGCTATCTGAAAGGACTTATTTGAATAGCTAAACATCAACATCTGTGCATATGGGTTAATGGGAATCTTTAATGACAGTTCTGATTGGATGATGGCGGAAGCCGATGAGCATTCGTAAGTGCAGCAGTCATGCCACACGTTAAACGCTGCACCTATGTTGACACATAACTGGGTTTTATCTAGCCACGAGCACAATTTAAAAGTTAATCCATGCTAAGAAGCGATTTGTATATTTAAACTCAAAAGTCACTCAGAGAGAGGAGACAGTAAACGCGGATTTAAGGTCTGTAGTTGCAAGCTACGGCCACATTACACATCTCTGGTAAACGAAAGTCATCGAGAATGTGCATTTTCTTGCCGGTGTCTGTGAAGTTTTCGAAAATCTGATGCGTCCATCCGATGTCGCCCTCGTACCAGAAGGACACGTAGGGACGGTAACCGCTGAAATTAAATCAAACAGCTCACAGTCTTATCAGTCAAATTTGCGCAATTAAAAGTCCTTTCTCGATCAGTATTTGAACTGCAGTTTTAAGTGTTTTGTTTTAAGCTACTTGGGTAACATCGATTTCTTAAAAGTTGCTTGATAACTCTACGTAAAAATCGATAAAATTCGCCCCCTAATTGGTTGACAAGGGTGAAGACCTCTGTGCGCAAATTTGAATTTGTGTGCGAATGAAGAGGAAAAGGATTAAGAAATAAAATTGAAAAGTTATCGAAATCCAGTTCAAAGGAAAAATTCGCGTAAGGTAAGATGCAGTTTTAATTGCTACCTGTTAACAGTGACGGATAACTGACGTTGCTGTCAATCACAGATGGCTCAGATGTAGCTAGTTGACCCAGTTCATCCACTGCCACAAATCTGTGAATGAATTAAACCAGAAGCCGGACTAAGTCGTGTGGAGCGCTAGAAAATTCGAGAATTTGTGAGATAAGCGCCATCGAGCTCCCGAACACTAACTCACCGCAATTTGTAAGGAACATATGCACGGCAGTCAATCGACTGCTTTGTTTAACTGAGCCAAATTATTGAGCAGTTAGGTCAAAAAATGCGCGGAATGTCTGAATAGATTCCAGGAAAATCTTTTTAAAACGTCAACGTTCTACGTATCTTGGAGTACCAAAATGCGACAAATCATTAGTAATTCAAGGCTACCTTGACAGTGGCTGTCTTGCGAATCCAAATCCACCAAAGACAGGGTGGTCGGTGAGTTTCGTTGTGTTCGCTTGCGGTATCACCCACCAATCGATTTGCTGTGCCAGCACCCTCCTCTTCACCCCAAGGTTGCGCGTGGTGCCGCTGTAGAACTGCCCGAATTGCTGCATAAAATCCCGATGCGGGGGTGACCAGTTTGGCCGGTACACGCAGCATGGCCCGTATCGATTTTCCTTCGGTGCAATGAGGTATGCCGTGGAGTTATAGTTAAAGAGAACGCAGGGAAAGTAGGCGTTTGGCGAGAAGATTGGGACACAAAAGTCAGTGTAGTTCTCCAGCATGATGCCAAGGTCGGAGGCGTAGGCAGCGTAGCCTCGACCAATGGCGTAGGGGAGTTCCGGGGGAATCCCATCGATCCATGGGGGCATTGGCATGCCCTTGTCCTCTCGTGGAGTGTACGTGATGGTAAAGTCGGCGTAGAATCGCTCTGGAAGCATCGGGGGCTGCGGAATCAGATCCCTTAATAATGACTAAAACAAAAAATGTTCATCGTTGTTCGATTTGCGATCGCACGCATTCCCGACCAATAAAAAGACAGCATTTCAACATCGATTAGTCATTGATCGAATTTGACACATGAGTGGGCTGAACCAAAATTCGGTATTGCAACTTCCTGGAAATCTATATTTTTAAAATCTGAATTAATTTAAGGGATCAACCCATTGAAAAAATCGACGTAAGTTTTGGCAACTCACAATCACCAGGGTCAGTAACCACGTCAGGCCGTTCATGTTAAGCAAGTGAACGTAATTGAGTGGCTGTTTGAGTTTAAGTGTGAAGACACTCGCTCACACACGCACGCACGAGCGCAAACGACAACACACACCACCGTCTCGACAGGTTAGCGTGAAGTTGTCCCTAGAGACACCTTAATTGCACCCTTCGAGAATATACAAAGGCATCCTGACTTTAATATTTTCGTTGATGAAGACGGCAGACAAAAATGTGATAAAATCGGAGAAAGATGGTTATATTTGACGGGTTCGCTACACGCAGACTTAGAACTAATACGATTGGCTCAGATTAGTGGAGACAAGGACACGACCTCGGTGTGAGAACCTACGTCAAACCCAGCCAATGAGAAGAGCTTGGGCTCGCAGCCAATCAAATTGCAGCACACTCAATGTGGGGTTAACCAATAGGATGGGGCAGGAAATTGTGCACACGGAAAAGCCAATTTCTTCGTGGTATATGCTCACTTCAGCTCCTTACTGCATTGTAAAGTTAATTGCTTCAGTCCTGCGAAGACTGATACAACTGACAGCACGCTCAGACACTTGCACCTTTTAACCCTAGACAAACCCTATTTTAGCTTGAAAACTTCCGCTTCCGCTTGAGTTACCTTAAATCACTGAATTCGGCAAAGAAGAGGGCAAAATATATTATATTTTATAGCAAAATCACAGCAACTTAATCTCCACAATAGCAGCTCGGCACACAGGACAGTGAAGACACTGGGAAGAAGTCTGAAAGGCAGGAAGACACGTCTTGCAGATCGCAACATGTCGACAAGGAACAAAAACAGTGTTTGCCTGGCCTTCTGTCAGGCAAATAACACAATCAGGCGGTCGACCTTCTTCCGACGCGGTACGATTCGCGGCAGTAAAGAGTTGCTACAATTTCAATAAAAACATTGTTACTTTAACGAATTAAGTACACAGTTATAGGTTACGTGGAAAAAAGGGCTTGCCTGAGCGCAGACAAGTCGGTCGAAGTTTGTCTTGCAGTATGAATAGAGGATTTGGGTCGCACGATGCTCCTCTTTGTGCTGTTTCACGTGAATAATGTGAATTGAGACAACCTGCAATTTGAAGTACACGAATAAGCAAGTAAATTAGATAAGAATGCTTCCGAGAGTAGAGCAGCAATGGCTTACTGTGCATTCCTCGTCTTTCCTCTCACTGGCTCGGTAGAACGCGAGCACAAGGTCGTAGGTCTGTCGGAATTTGTGCAGATCCACTCGCTCTTCGTTGGTCTTCACGTTCAGAAGGGAGTCGTCAGGCGTCAGCATTGTGGTTTGCGACGCGTTCTTTCGTAGGAAGTCCACGAGAACATCTGTTGTGTCTACCATCGCATGGTGGAGCGTGGACAGTGGAACGCTCCGCAGAATAAAGAGCGTAGCACTATCACGCAGGGAGAAGCCCACACTCAGGCTGCCTGAGTTCTCGTTATGGTCGACCTTGGTGACCGCTGCGAAGTTACTCAATGGGAGCACGTTTTCAGTTCGCGGTTTCCGCGACTTGCCGCTTCGAAGTCCAGCAAGGGCGTCGTTGACGATGCGACGGAAGAGGAAGAAGAGCAAACCAAACATGCCATAGCAGAGAACAGTCAGCACCGCGCAAACTATCAGCCAAAAGTTCAGATCATCCTGGTTGTCTGCGGATTCATCCATCTGGCATCTGGACAGAACAGGGCTTTTCAAATAAGCACGCGTGTCTTCGAACTGATCTCCAGTAAATAGACACGAATTTGAAAACCACGTAGCGGACAATTTGTACAAGTTTACAGAGTGTAATTTCACTTGTCAGACAAGTGTCTGAATACACCGATAATAGTGCAAAATGGCAGGAAATACACTTTATAAACAGATGAGTGGAAGTAATACTAGTGAATCAAACAATAGTTCGTCACTAAAGATCTGTGTTTTTGAATGTTTAATAAGACTAGTTACCAGATAATTCACCATAAATCTTTCAAGAAAATATCTGGACTGATTCATATTGATAAAGATTAATTATTTTGAAACGTCGTTGCTACTTTGGCGAATCCTTGAGCACCAGGACAGCTCATTACCAATTTGGTTTCTGCACAAGCTCATTGCAAATAGTTTTACACAGCAATATAGGTAGATAAGATTCGATTAAACGTGCAGCTAAAGATTGTTACAAATTAACAACTGAGACATTTTGAGAAAGATGCGACTGATGATACAACCGCAACCGCACAATGTAAATACCACATTTGAAATTAAAAAAAACGAAGTTAAGAACATACACCCACCAGATATAGCCATCGACCGCATCAGGATTTGCAATTTTTTACAGACTTTTGAAGGTGGAACCAAGTCATATTAATTTAATGTTTTATCTAACAACTTGTTTCACGTTACAAAAAATCCACTCAATCAGGAAAACATTACCACCGACCACACGGAAAATGGTAAATAAGACACTTGTCCACAGAAGAAAAAAGGCAACGAGTTGATAAAAACGAGAGGGAATCTAGAATCCATCCAATTTGACCCCATGTAATGGTTATCATAACGCAATATTAATAACTTAAAAAATTGCATAAAAAGACTTATTTACTAAAAGATAACCTACTAGACTTCCGTCAAACCAATATACAACAACAGACTAAGATTTTCAGGTTACGCGGCGTTATATACAAAATCAAAAACAAATTCAACGGTATTGGAAAAAATCATTATCAAATTTGAAGTGATGTTTTAGGTAAAAGCTAAAGCTATATATTAAAGTTGTTTTACAATTTTGAAGCTAAGTGAATGGATGAACACCCATATTCATTTGCTTTCTCGTCATCTGTTAAATTCAGTTGCTTGGGGTGAAATGCGTATGTACAGATTAAAAGATTTCAACCCACTTTAATTACAAATCCGTTTGGTGCGTTTGTTAAATGTAAGTTAACCTTGTTACACACTAATCTCTTACAGTCATTCACTAAGAGCTGATATTCTCTCTTACATTGTATTTGTTAGTGCTGCCACTTTTATGTACAAAAAATATACCTGAGAATACAATGGCCAAAAAACAAGGAAATTGATGGCTCTTTTATATTGTGAATTATGCCACAAAAAGTAAAATAAGGAAAATTTGTGCTTTCGTTTGCGACTTACCTTTATTTTGTCAATTCTACCTACTTATAAAAATATGGTTAAAATGTTGCACAGACGTCAAATTCCTTAACCGATCATCTATGTTAACAATTTAACACCACGAAGCAAGCATAATCTTACTTACGATCCAATGTCACTGCATGCCCAACTAATCATCACTGTTTATGCTAAAGCGTTTAGCCCTGTTAATGTATACATAAATATGCTTACATAATGATATTTACGCACATGCAGGATCTCTTAAAACGAGAGTTTTATTTCATTAATGGCCTGATCTTCTTGTCACTTAAATATGTCAAAATATTCTTAAATGACCATCAAGAATTTAGTGCTGCTCTGACCTTTAGAATTTCATTGGAACCTCAAAACGAATTTGGACTAAGACTAAATTCAATTTTTTACAGATATTGCCTTAAAATCCATGGAAAGTTTAAAGTGTACACTAAAAAAATTATTCTTGCTCAAAACCCCAGAGAATCGCATTTTAGTTTGGTTTTTGTAAGTTGCAATTAATTATCTGGGTTCGATTTTGTAATGACTCAAAAACCAACTTTACAATTATAATTTAAAGTGCGGTAACATTGTCACACATTTTAAATCAAGAAATTCACATCATGTCATCATGTGGTAAATAGTGGACATTAGCTCACTAGTGGCGAATACTAAACCACCTAAAAAAGAGCCGCCTATATGAGATCAGATTGGCTGGGGACTGCTCGATATCGGTTCACGATGATTGATTTATGATTTTACCAAAGTAATTTAAAATTCATGCACATCTTTAGACCATTAAAAGAGCATACTTGTTGCTAAAACAATCTTGACTTATCATGATCCTTATGGCACGCGCACCGGCACATGTTTGTACGATTAGCTGCCTACGAAATAAGATGTAACGAGGCTACGGTAGTGTAATTATGTGACTATAATATGAATCAGTAGTAATAGTAGGGTCCACTGCGTTTATGTTATGCACAAAATAAGCCCAAAAGAACTTAAGAAAAAATAAACAATTGGGCTATAAACCGACAGATGTAGGTCATCTGATTTTTTTGTTTCGAATGAATTTAACTCGCGTAAGCCGCTTGGTCAATTTAACAGGCTTGGCCACTTTACCTCATGCAAAATATCGCCATACATGAAACACTGGGATCGAATAAAAGACATAAAACCTGGAAACAATTCACAATTAGCTTAACTTTACCTCCAAGTCACGTGTTCTGTCACCTTGCGTTATTTTAAAACACGCGCCCATATCGGACTCTGTCTTGCACGTGACAAAATCGATAAACAAGCAACCTGTGACGCCGGCAGAGTGTGTGCAAACTGCAGCCCACAAGGCTGATTAAGGCCCAGAATTTAAAAAAAAAACAGCGATGTCAAAGTACACCGGCGCCGAGCAGGAGGTGGAGGTGACAATTCAGCAGCCCGACCTTCCAGGATCCGCCCTGACTTACAAAAAACTCCTCGAACAACAAGATGAAATTCAAAAGGATTTAGAGAAACTGGCCAACTTGATTAACATGTCGAAACGGCGCTCCAGTAGACCGTTTTCCCTAAACTCATTTCCAGCCCAGTTATTTCGTGTGGATGACTCAGAGGAAAATTCAATTTTGAGTCTGTCATTTCCCCTGGAACAGCAGAGTGGAAAGGGTCGCTGGCTGATAAGGAACAATAATGCGCAATTAAAACACATGAAACCAGCCTTATTTGGCAATTTGGACTGTCTGGCAAATCAGGCGTTGAAATTTGAGTGTGGAAAACAGATGGAAAATAATAACACCACGCCCACGGCAAAGTATATACGTATACAGGCGGATAGTACTACTGGCGAGCCAATGATTTCCATCTTCGATGAATGCGGCCAATCACAGGTTGCGTGTGCTTACTTGACGAAGGATTTTAAATTGGACATCGACTTTAAACTCTGGGACCGCAATGGGAGCATTGTGCCAATGACCACGAGTGCAGAGTCGAGACGATCGTCTGGCGGGTGTTACTGTCCTCCGAGCCTCTCTAACCGTGCTTCCTCCTCAAAACCCTGTCTTTCACCGTCCTGTCCTAAGCTGAACCCATCGCAGTATTCCAATCAGCGCTATTCGAGACAAGTATCGCCGCCTCACGGCGTCACAATCTGCCCGAATCCTCACGCCGCCCCTATTCCAAAACCCAATCCTTCGATGTCGTTGAAATCTTCTCCACAACCTCCGCCGCCTCCACCAGCAAATATAAGCTCATCTCCGCCTAACTCCACGCCCGGTCCTACGATGCAATCGGGCTATTCCCGTCCGCCACCCGGTCCAATCCCCAATCCCCTCTCGGAAGTTCCAGAGCCCAAATTGACAGGGTTCAACAACTGGCATATTTGGCGCATCAGCAACTTTGCCGAGCTGGAGGAATGCAACGGTGGGGAGTGGTGTGAACCCTTCTATCTCGGGCAGCCGGGCTACCGAATGCAGGCGAAGCTGGAATTCACCACCTACCTCTTCGGCATCTACATCAAACTTGTCTCCGGTGATTACGATGACTGTCTGACGTGGCCTTTCGACTCAGACATCTACTTCTCCATATTGGACCAGACTGGCGCGGGTAATCACATCGTCCGAGTTCTGAGGCCTTACCTCAACGACGAAGACGAGAAAGAGGTTTGGCAAAGGCCGACGGCCGAGAACAGCGATCAGATTGGCTGGGGCCTGCCCGATATCGGTTTGCGATCATTGATCCACTCAAAGATATATAAACCCTCGCCTTACATGCGAAACGGGACGCTGTACATTCAGATTACCCTGGGCAAAGCTATCTGCCCTCAAGAAGCCGTGTGATGTCAGATTTTATTATGTTTCTTTTTAATTGATCTCATTAGTACATTTTCTGTAGAGAATTTAATTTAAATTTGACTAAATTCAGTCTTTTTGATTGGTTAGAAGCAGGAGCCTTGGCTGGTTATTTAAAGCAGCTAGTTAATCAGTACTCTTTAATACTTTAAGGAAATAAGTGGCACGACAATTGTTATTTTCAAAAGAGACGCAGGAATTCCTTTCAATTTAGCAGTATATACTCGTACCACAGAGAAAAATCCAACGTAGCAATGAGATCTAAGGTACAGGTTATTTCGGTAATTTGAAGTACGCGCAAAATAAACAGGGCTGGTTAGCGTGTGAGTTGTATAAAATGAGTTTGGTGTTTGAGGCTGCAATTGTAAGGTGATATGTGATTGGATGAACAGCAGGGCGCCCAGTTCAAACGTCCGCCCTCAGTTTGAGCTCAGAGAGCGAGCCGAACGGCGTTGCGTGGAGGCTTTTTCGACAGTTCTGCTCTGCGTTCGTGGGTTGATTGAGATGTAGGGTTGACGACGGACGAGAAATCGTTGACACAGCCTTCTGTCAGAGCGAAAAGATACGTTAGTTAGACAGACACACACACACACATTAATCCAGACAATAACACATCACCCCGCCACGTGGTTGCAGTAGGTTGGTTGCGTGTGCATATATTACTTAAATCACTAGAGCATTCATTCACTATGCAGCATCTAAATGTGTCGAATTTCTTTCGGCTAATGATTTTCCCTACATCGCAACGCAAATCCAATTTCAAACACACAAGTAGATAATCGTTACCGCAACAACTTTAAGCACCGATTTTAAACTCGTTCCTAATCTCAAAAATTAAATTGTTTAGCTTTGTGATAGGTTCAGGCAGTCGTATTTGCCGTTAAAAAGCTGTTTTGACTCTTTTCGAACACTGAAAATCCCTCTGATGTGATTGGCTGGAAAGTATCGCATCACTTCGCACCTTCTCCAGCCCATGCGCCTTCTGAATATTACTCTTTTGGATAACTGCGGAATCATTCGGATGGTTGTATGTTCTGCCCAAACATACTTGTTGGCCAGTGGATGCAGACGGCATTCGACAGAGACTAGAGGCCGATGAGAAACGCGGTCTGCCGCGGGCAGAGGGTCTGGCAAATTTCGGCGGTCGTGAGGCGTCTTCGGACTCCTCCGAGTGCGTGGCGTCCTCGGTGGACTTGAAGCGAAGGAGGTCCTCGTTGAAGAGCGACGCGGGATTCTGCGTGGCGCATCGAGCTGCCACGTCGGAGGCAAGCATGCTGGCTTCGAGGAGGTGCGACCGCATTTCCAGCTCGGCTATCTGGCTGTTGTGCTTGATTTCCTGGGTCTAGATACAAAAATACGTCATATCAAACCGTTTAGGGTCTGCTTCCCGTTCTATCAACGATGATGGACAGTTGGTAGCCTTCTTTAACCCCACTGAATCCGAAATTTTACCATTTCGAATGACTTTTAATAAAGTACACACTCAAAAGGTTTGGGAAAATAGGTTTGGGTGTTATTTTGGACCTCTAACACACTTATATTTTGCCTTATTAAGAATAGGGCGATTTTGCAAGTCGACCCTGCACCAACAATTGTCATTGGCGGAAAAAAAGGAGGGAGTGCAAGATGTCGCCAGTTACCACACTCCCTCACCTCTGACTCCAACTGGAAGACTCGCTGTTGCCAGTTGCGTAGTTCGCGACGCAGTTCACGTTCCTGGTTCACCAGGCGCTGAATCTCGTTCTCCTTCACGCTCATTCGCAGCTCCTGTTCGTTCTGCCGCCGCGTGAGACCTGTGCAACGCGATTCCACTTTTCGAATCTAGAAAAAAAAACCGGCAATTAAGCTTGGTGTTTGCACCGTGACGGTGTGCACCGGGACACGTGTTTGCGGTGGGAACACCCCAGTAAACCGTGTCCTGGGTAGGTTAATTAACATGATCAGCCGCCAGATGGGTTGGCAGGTGGGTAATTACGACTCGGTTTGGACGAAACTAACCTTAATTTTCCTGGCGATTTCATTTTCGGCAATCTTACAAGTCAAACGCTATTTCAGGTCGCAAGATGTAAGTTTGGAACAAACTAGTGACGACGTGTGCATGCGGAGTGAATCACCGACGCATCACATAGTGGTCGAGTCCATTACCCTTATTCTTTCTCTGAGTTTAACTCGGGTATCCAAATTTCGCGCCTCTGAAGTGTTTGTTGATTGGCTCTCACGCACCTACGAGCACGTGATTGGCTACGTTTGTTCGTAATGGGTACGTCTCATAAGTAGTGCCTTGATTAGCATAAGCAACGCGGAAACGTTGTGGTTAGTTGTTGCCATGACAACGACAATGTCATTACTGACTTCAATAAGACCGTTCCAGTTCAAATAAGCCCACAGTTTTGGAAATTGACGATATCGGGTCGATGTCTAGACGTGGTAAATCTTTAACCAGTTCCATACGCAAAAATAAGGGGTGAATTTAGGCCCAGTGCATTTTCGTGAATTAAGTTTGAAAGGTTTGTGAATGGTAACACTGTCTCCGTAACAATGCTGGTGTTTTTTACTGCACAACCTACAGCGTCAATGTTGGCTGCTGAGGAACAATAGCCACAATAAGGACGTCCGTTTGTGATGATTTTTTTTTACCCGAAATAGCGTGATTTCATTGTAGTCAATGGAAATAAATGCCGAAAGTCAAAAGATGGTGCCATAACGCATCACCTCATACGACCTGGATGAGCTTACCTCGGCTTGTGTTTCATTGAGCAGAACCAAAGCACGCGCTTCTCGTTGCCTGGCAACCAATGCCTCCATCTTCCACTCTGACTTATCGGCGAATCGGGAAATCGAGGTCTTGAGGGAATTTGTGAGCCTACCAAACGTAGAAATAGGTCGCTGGGTCGGATTTTTGCCACATGCTGAGTTTCTCATTCTAACGACTGGATGCTGCTGCTGCTGCTGTGGACGATCGAACCGACCAATCACAGAGAGACTTCGCCCCAGATTAGTGCGATGTGACGCGTTGGCGTCAGTCAGTGCCTGCGAGAGGTAAGGACTGCTGTGAGTGCTGTTGAGCGACGCCAGGGAGAGTTCGTCGTGGCTCTCCGAAGTGCAGCCGCTGTCGCTGAGCGGGGAATCACAGCTGGTGCGCTTGGAGTCGAGTTGTCCATTACGCTGGCCGCCAATCCACGTGTGGAGATGGCGTTGGCGGTGGTGTTCAGGCGAGCGATGATTCGGCGTCGATTCATCCTCCTCTTCATCCCGTACTTCCTCCTCATCTTCTTCGTCGTAGCACACTGTCGTGTTGTTAATGGAAACGTCGTCTAACGTCGGTTTCTCGCTCTTGAGGGCTTTTAACCGTGCAGACAACGGCTCATCGGAATTAAAGAGGACATCCAACCACGGTATCTGAAATAGCAATCTCGACTATATAAGCCCATAAATTTGTCAGCAGCCAACATGAAAAGGTTCCAATGTGTGCAGACCTGTTCAATGACTTGGTCGATTGCCTCGACGCGATTTCGCAGATCTTCATAGGCCAGAGTAACTTCAGCCTCGCGCTGTCGACACATACTCAGTTCTTCTTGAAGCACCTGTACCTCCTGTGTGGACGAGGCTTCAAGTTCCATTTTTTGCTGAAACGATAGATGAACGGAATAGTAAGAGGGTTGTCGTGAATCGTGTTTATTCACACCCCTTAATCCGGTCGCTCCACCTCCTACACAGGGTTCCCCAGCCGCGCGATTCTTCAACTCCCCCCTCATTAGCATGAATATTTATCTTGGAGTATCCCCACGCCTAGGTCTCGATGTTAGCGCATGCATGACTCACACATCCGAGGTATAATATACCCGCGCAAACTCCACACACGACACGACGCCAAAGTGGTTGAGCTCTGAAGTAAACGGTTGCGTCCACGTCCTCTCCGGTCTTTTCCTTCATCGCGGGTACGAGGGAAACGTAATCGGGCCAGAGTTAATTCCGTGGCCCCGGCGTGGTTCAAGACCACACGCTGGGGCCCACAACAAAATGTCAGCAACGACATGATGGTGAAAACTCTCTGAACGTGGAATTTTGTTAGGTAGAACCAACTAACACGATCACGCAATTTAAATTGTGACTCCACGCAGCATTCTAAATATAGCAAACGCCTATACAACAACGCACGACACACATGCTCTCAGGTTAAATTGGTACAAACACATGGATTGCAATCTAGTTCGCACGGATTTCGTCGTTTTATTGTCAAGTGATGCCAATTAAATCTCCTGTCAGAGGTTGTGGGAACAAATTGTGCATTGAAGACAGGAAATTTCTGAGGTGGAAACGTCCAGACACGTGGTGTCGGAATAAACATCGCGTCTTCGTGTCATAACACAATCGTCAAAACTATTTCTGTTACCATTTACGGCGTACCTATCATGAAATGAAGTAAAATAAATGTTGGTGTGTTTAATATTGGGTGCCAAAATAACTCTTACCAGATTTAACTGCGTACACGCTTCCCTAGTTTCGTCGAGCGCTGCAGCAAGTGTCATCTGGTTGTCGATGAGGCTGGAGATCATTTGTTTTAAGTAGTTGATGTATTCCGTGTTTGCTAATTCGACATCAGCCGCAAACGCCTCGTTAGCTGTTCGGTTGGTGGCGGTGGCGCTGTGTTGCGTTGGTTGTTGTTGATTGTGGGCGAAGTTGGTGCTTTGGACATCCATAGCTAAACTAAATGCAACTCGCCTTTAGACTTTAATATTTAGGCACACCCTGCTCTGATTGGCCATTTGGTTTTTGCGCTGGCCCTGTTTTAATTGGGGCTATTGGCTGGCGAAAATTCAAATCGCTTTAGGCGCCCTATTTGTAACCCGCTTAATCCACCAATCACATTGCTGCACGGCAAAGAGGCGAGATGATTATTCATCACGTGGATTATCGATCTGCGTAAGCACGCAGGCAGTGTGATTCAGCGGAGTTCGACCAATCAACTTCCCACAGACTTGGCTTGCCTGCAATATGAGTAAGTGTGCCTTTGACGTTTCTGTGTGTTCTCATGTCCTTTAAGGTCAAATACACACACGACGCACGCATTCGCACATCGAATAGGCAAACTCTATTGGTGCAAGGATTGATTTCACCTAACCGTAAGCACTGCTCGCGTCAGCATTTAACCACTCGAGACTTCCTCTGTGAGCATGCTTGTAACCATCTCGGTAGATCGATAACACGACCTTGACAATGGCTGAAGTTTTGAATGGCTTGCTTCTCACCTGAACGCTCTACCCACATCGGAAAAAAAGTATGGGTGCATCACTTTGCCCTATATTCAGGTCACAGTGCTAATGAGTAAATCGAAGGCACGAGGTGCAAGTGCATTGTGCGAGGGGTGAAGCATTATCGATCGGGGACTGTGAATGCACCCCGTGTGGCATGCACTCGAGGCTGACGGTGCGCGCTTTTAGCAAGCCGATACCCTCGGATTTGCAATTTTTGAATAAAATAATGCGAATGGTCTACACTTTTTGCCTTATTTATGCTTGCAGGAATACGAAAAAATAGCTCCAAGGTCAATATTTGTGATATCGACAGTCCTGAGTTGAATATACTCATCTGGAGAGCCAGAAGTGGCGCAGAAGTGTTCCTCGATGGTTAACAGAAGGCAAATACCAAATGCAACACGATTTGTTTACGACAGGTGATGATGGACAGGATTCGTAGCATGCTTAATAAACGAAGCTGATTATACTTCCTTAAAGTTGTCCAATCAAATAATCACTCTAAAATATCCAAAATCGATATTACCCAGGGATCTGATATGTGACTCTAGTTTAGGAATTGGGTAGGATCAGATCGTTCTTATGACAAGCAATGGTTTCCATGACAATAAAATGCGTGCAAGATAAAAATAACTAATTAACTCAATAAACATCAAAAAGTGAATATTTGAAGCCAGGAAACTCACAATTTGTCAAGCTGAAATTCACTGGGATACCTATTCGTTGGAACCACACAAGTATTCCTGGTAAGTAATCCACTTCACCCCATGAATCGGTGTCTTATCGACTGGCCCCCAACTGTGAGAGCATGTGTGGACCAGGCAATCAGTGAAATGCGTTTTAAGGCAACGCAATTGCGCCATCCTTGGAAGCGCGCAGGCTGATTGGCTCTCGAGTCCGCAGTGTGACCCTCTCACTGCCAATCACAGAGCGGGATTTAGGCGTGTACTTTAAAATCCTCACAACGGATGTCGACGCCCTATCTAAGGCGTCTACGCCCAGCTTAATAATTCATAATTGTGTACATTTTCAACTCTTGTTTATAAATGCAGGAAGCGCGTCTCTAAAATCCACAATATTTATTTGATCGGTAGAAAAATGTCGCGAGTGTGCGCTCTACTTTAAAAATACAATAAACCGCATATTTTGGTGAGTTTACACGCGGTTTCCGGTAATGCCAAATTCACATAACCTCTGTCTACCCTAATTCAGGTAACTTCGTTAATGAGTGAGAGATCTGCGTTGAAAAGGGCGTATTTCAACCGCCTAAAAGTGAAGCTGCCGATTCAATTAAAGGTTCACGTGATATGTGACTCAGGCAACGCATATTTGCATGACTGACGCGCGATCGTAACGCTTGCATGTCGACAGCGTGCACAGTCATTATAAGGTTTCAGGCGTGGGTGTACTGGCTTTAAAAATTTTTAAGAATAAAGCATTTTAAATGGAATAAAATCATGGAAACAGAACCTGCAACTCACTGGTATGTTGTCGGAACTGACACAGAAACCACTATAGAAATAACCGCCAAATTCTTGGTGCATTAATTAGGAGTTGATGGTGATCATGTGAAAATCTTGAGAACCAATGGGATTTCGGGGTGAAGCACAAAACACGCGCACAAACAGCAGAAATTTTTGCCTACCTAAATGGCTCAATTCCATTTTCCTCTCTTCCTTTAACCAGTCCCTTGGTGTCCAGAATCTGGGTACTTTTTGCGCTTCAGAGGATTCTCCAAGCATCACTACATTTCTCCAGTTAATGTTACAATTCAACCAGGTGTTATTGGGTGTCGAGTCTCCTGCCTGGTAGAAGCTACTGAAATGAATAATAAGCATTGATTTCATTTCCGAATTGATGTCCTCGGGTTTCCTCTAGCACGAAACAAGCCAGCCGATAGAAAAGTACAAAATCTCTCGTAACTGAACAAATAGATCATAATTTCTAAATCAAGATCACCTAATTTGACCTCCACAAGTGGTCACGGATTCCGGAAAGGATATCCACACGCCCAATCAAAGCAAATAAACCCAAATCTCCACGATTTTACCCTAATTTGTGCCAATACAAAAAATTTCCTTTGTAAACAAAGACTGCATTTTACCATTCCATTTAATCCCTAATTGGGAACTCAATTACACTACCATTAGCTTCGAGCTTAACAAATGTCTTTAATTTGATGCAGCGTAGAGAACAAAAATGCAGAATAGGTGAAGAAAATTTGATTGGTCCGTTTAAGGGAGAATTAAAATCAATGCGGATTTTCATTGGTCAAGCAGTTGCCATACTTCGTCAATCACTGCCTTGGTTATTTTTTGCGTCATTTTGCATGGTAGGGACATTTTCTTGCCTTCCATTTCCTATTCACCTGTTTTTCAATCATGTGTCTTAATTGGTCTAAATGTTTTGGTTTTAATGCATCTCTGTCTAATCTCTAAACACGGAGCAAAAATGAGCGTCTTGCTGGTTGATTTATCGGCCCTCAAGTTTCTTAAGCACACAGAAATCAATGACATTTTGGGGTACAAAAAATCGAATTTTTATATTGAAGTCAACGCTTAAAGTTTTGGATCCAGGAATACAACTCACAAGTTTCCCTGGTGTGCTGCATTTGAAAAGATCTGGAATTAATCTTACTAACTAGACATGAGTAAAACTTTTTATTGACCGTAACTCCTCTACTTGCACTCTGATTGGCGAAATACACATCTCATGGTCGGCTAAATTGAGACGCGGATTGCAAAATTTACCTCGAATGCCCATCATCTTTTAAAATGTAATAAATTTTTAGTTAAATCAGTATGGCAAATATTAATATACAGCTAACAATCGAACCCATTTTGAAACCAAATTATAAAAGCAAACCTAAAATATTCTGGACTTTTGCGAATTATTAATTTATGTTTTAACAGTTGCAGCTAAATTTAGTTTTACAAAGTCATTTAAGACTCAAGGAATCGCATCAAAAAGAAGTTTCGAAGAGTATTATAATTTAAACTCAGTTAACAGAATTTGAGGAACACGCGATATGTGGTTTGCTATTCTGAATATATTAATTTTAAACAACTGAGTTTGGTGCTGTGTTTACTGAAAAAGCCTTTAAATTACTATAGAATAAGGCATTTGCAAATGCTTTAAAGTATAATTATACTGCCAATGAGTACCATCATCAAACAATTTTCAAACGACATATTTTGTAAATTAACAGAAAAAATATGTAATCAAGTGTACCAATGTTTGTCTTATAATAAAATTCGTTGGTAATCGAAAGTTTTACTTGTCTGGATAATGAATATAATTTTTTCCCATATTTTGTTAAATTTTGAAGCAACTACCATATAACCTGCAAAACTATTTGATTATTTAAATGTCATGGTGCAAAAAATGCCAATGCAAATTGAATTTAATCAGGCTTTTACAAACTGGTGTGTTTATATAGGGCTTTCCATTTAAATTGTTTAATGTGCACAATTTACCAAGAGTGTACCTGAGGCACTACGTTTACGCTCATGCCAACAAGTTAACACAATAAATAAAATAGGATAGATGATAGTTTATTTTGGAAATATCAGCCTTATTTAAAGTTGATACCTTCTTTACTACCATTTATTTAAACTTCAAATAATATTTTTGAGGCCAGAGGATTAACAGGAAGTTGAACTAACAATAGTGGACATGGCACTGAATCATTTGTAGGTAATAATTTGAATGAGTCAATCTGCTTTAGAAATCAAGCCTTTAAGCCTTATATCTGATTTATTTTTAACAGAAAATGCTATAATTCGTGACAAATTTTGCATGTGACTCATATCTTTAAGGCATATAAAAATGTCAAAACTTACTTTACCCCATTTTTTAAGCGACTGAATTCCCAAAAAAAGGATATGAAGTAACTGGCAACTTTTGTGCGCATGTATAGCAGTTAAAGGTAGTTAAAAAAAGAAATAGGTAGTTATTAACATTGTCTTATTACTCTTATTAGCTAATCATTTCCTGTCACTTCGTTTTACTCAATTACTGACCGTAAGGTTGCGATTCAGGTATAATTTAGACCTTTTTGAAATGGCTGAACAGTTAGCAAAATCGGGACTTTTTGTTGATGACCTTAATAAACTGAGGATAATAGATCCGTCAATAACACAAGCAACAATAGATTTTAAAGAAGAATGTGCGAAGTTTTTGGACAGTAAGAAGCATTCTGTTATGTAATTGCTAGTTTTAAATAAAATCAACTCTGGATTGATCTAATTGAGGCATTTACAATAATGTGTAGTGAGTTATTAAGATGGTTATGAATATGCATCAGAACTCTATGTATGCGGTCAAGGTTTATTAATTTTATAGTTATTCACTAAAACAGATTCACATTTAGGTTGTTTGTAAATTTTTGCGACAGGCTTTTTAGAATGTGCATGAAAATGTAACCCGATGCCGTGTTTTGATTATCACAATTTATGCACTTTCAACTAGAGGTTTAGTTTATCCTTTAAAATATATTTTTGATGTTTAAATTATTTTTTGATTCTTTTGATTTAATAATGAACAACCGCATGAATTTTAATGACTTTTTGCCATGCACGGATTCTGTGTGCCCTTTTTTAGCGTTTCCTAGCTTTATGCCTGCTGCGTGCCTTGACAAGCCTTACACAAACATCAAGGGTGTAATTAATTCTTTGGATTAGCTATTAAAGTGTGTGTATAAATTCTATTTCTTGTAAGCTAAAAGGGAAAATGATTGAACGTTGCTAGCAACTTTTTAAAGTAACCAATTAATGTCAGTGAAACTGTGTAAAAGGCAATGATAATCGCTATCTTGATGTGCACAGACAGAGTTATCAACAAATAAATTTTTTATCATTCCTGTTGTAAAACGATTCGAAGGTTTTTTTCTCTCCACCAGCTTGGAAATCTAGTGAATATGGTTTTCGAGTAAACGGAAAGTCTTCTCATATCATGATGTCTTAAAAATTTGTAGTTTGGCCCAGAGTTTCAAGATTACTTAGTCGATTAACGTCTGGGTTTTACCAGTAAGAAAAAAAGCCTAATGCCATTTAGGCTTGTCATAATTTGGTCCTTTAAAATGGCTTAAATATGTATCAATCGACCAGTCCCTAAAATTTGCAAATCAGCCGTCAATTTGGTTTGCGTTTGTTTACACTATTGACTTTTTGATTGACGACTTTGCATAATATTCATTATCTATCATAAGTTTAAGTTACTTTGAAAAAAAGACTAGTTGACTTCTATAAAATGATGGGTTAAATGACTACGATCTCCTCGAAATTAGCATCTCTTTTTATTATCGTGATAACTGGCTGCTCTGAAGGTTACAATATGCCTTGATCTGGATATAGAATTAAAGTTTAAATCAAGAGTGTTTAATCTACTAGATGCCTTACGCGTCTCTTTGAATTTTTAATTGCCTTGCTTTAAATTTTCGTTCTTAGCGTTCGCTAAGGTAGTGCTGCTGATCTAACTAAACCTTTCGCTAACGAAATTCCTCTTGTTATTGCCAAGATTTTCGTGATGAGAGTAATATGTCAGAAATCATAAATTTTGCAAGGGATCTGAAGACAGCCATCAATTGTGGATGCAAAGGGAACATGCATCGCTACCTATTTTGAATAAGTAGGCATTTAGTGGACTGTTTTAAACTGTAATCACAGTAGATTTTGTAGGAATTCAAATGTATCTTATCTGCCCACATAAATCGCGCAACCACCAATTTTTATCCATATGTTTCTTGCTTGTAGAAACCGAGGAATTCCAGTCTCTAACGAAGATGGTCCAGGAGCTGATTGTGTCGACTGCCTCCAAAGTTGAAAGAATGAAAATGAAGGTAACACGCGTGTACCACGTCAACTATTGGTTTGATTGATAAATTTTTCCTGGAGAGCCTCAGATGCGTCTGTCAAACAATTTCGGAGGTGTTTTTGCCCTCTTGGAATGCCAATAAGACGCCTTCACGAGTGTTGATGTTTGCAATCACTGTAGTAATGCGTGATCTCGCAAAATCTAATTTTCACTCAGCATTGGTGCGTAAACATCTAATGATGCTGATGGTTTAGCTTGACGACAACAACAACAACTCGTCATCGCAGTTGTGAATAATGTCGCCATCCTATGACACTAGTCTGGATCAATTCATATTAAATTAGCAATTTCGCATTAGTTCAACAGAAGTTGCGGTTAAAATAGCAGGAAAGTCTACCATCTAGCAGAATAGACTATGTCAAAGTGTTTTTCATGTTGATATTTGGTGGAGACGGGTTGTTTTTCTTGAAAATTGCCAAGAACTCATCTGCGGCATTATGATTGGTTAGTCGTGAAGGTCAATGTAGCACTAACACAAGTACTCTGCGGATCAGCTCGTCATCTGCTGTGACGTCAGCGTTTACGTCACTGCAGAAAATCGATAGCCTCTGGGCAATACGAAAAAAAACAGCACGCTCAAAGTCGAAAACTTTGCTCATTGCGTAAATGTTGACACAGATTAATCTGAAGTGTGTCATAACAAATTCGAACTGAGTGTGTTGTGGTTGACAAACTCATAAACAATTTAATTATGCCACCTTCTGTTGTCCAATCAAAAGCGACATTTTGGTGACCTTGTTTACTTCCGGCTTATTAGTCTCTCTGCTCGCGAAACCGCCTTGAATCTGTCGCCAGAAAGAGAGCGGAACAACGAGAACTACTGGAATCTGAAGTTCTTGAAGCTCGAATTGAATGCGAAAGGTACGCTTAGATTGATGTCACAAAACAAGCATTGGCAACAGAATTTTTTACATTGTTTGCAACGACATGCAGTGTTCATGGCCATCTCCATGCATCACACAAACAATTCCGAGACATCTTCGTGGTTTTTGCACTGTTTTGCGAAGTATTTCTGTGGGCTGCTTGCTTGCTAACGATGTCCTTTTCAAGTTCTCGGATTGGTAGATTCGGTCCGAGCTTCGACAACTGGCCAATCAAATTGGAATATTGTTTACCTTGAGGTTTAAGAAACCTAACCTCAAATGGACAAATTTTTTGGGCTGAAAAATTATTGTGTCATACTGGCCTACCTTGTTAGAGAAATGAAGGTCATTTGCCAGAAAGTATCGATTTCTTTGAGTGGTGATCAAGTCCCTTACTCGAGCCCACGATGCAATGGTTATCGATTTCTATCCATCGCTGGGACGTTTGAGGTGGTTTTAAAATGGTGCTAAAATGTTGACCTTGAGTATAACCTTACAATATTAATTCGTTATAACTACGGTAGGATTTATTATCTACCATACTCGTGCCAATCACTTCGTCCAATCCGATGATGACTTCGCAGATAAGGCGGTCCTGTATTGGCCAAATCAAGGTCAATGGTTTGATTCGATTGTTTTGACGGTTTTTAATCAAACATTAACGAATTTGGCTGCCCTTTTGCCTCAACGTCGTAATTTTCCTGAATTCGAGTGGGATTTACTTTGGCTTCACTTTCTGGACACCCATTAAAAGGTAGCAGGGGGGGGGGGTTATGAGGAAGCCAAAGAGCCAAAAATTCTGTCTCTTGCCTTCCCTGACGTCTTCCAGGCTTTTCACCGCGTTTTGACGTATGTGCACTAATCGCTGTGTTGTGATTGACGCAATGGCCCCTCCCCACACCCCTTTTTCAGCCCAAACCTGTCAACCAACCCTGTTCACTCGAACACACACGTTGCGATCATACACCTGTGTGTGCGTGTGCGCGTGGAATCCCTCGCAAGGAATGAAACTAATCTTTTTGCCCACCGTCCGGTGACAGCGGGTAGGGTGTCGAAAATCTCTGTACCTGCAGAGTAACCACCTGATGACACGCACACGCGCACGCGCGCACCACACCGAGGGACGCCACAATTAGCCACAGGTGGCACGGGGGAGGGAGGTAGGGGGTAGTGGCACGACATTCAATTATCCCAAGCTGACATTTAAACATTTTAACAAGGCACACGGACCAAAAACTGCGTCTCTGCGTGCATAATGAGGCCTGGCCTCAGCAACCTGGGCATCATTTGTTTTTCAAACGAGGCAGAGGTGGGTGGGGAGGGGGTGTTGCGAAGGGGAAAACGTGGGCAACGAAAGCAGATGCACAAGCCGGCAGTCTCGTCCATGAGCCACGTGACCGTGCACCGCTGGTCCGAGGTTCGAGTCCTGCGGAGATTGCTGCCCTTCTGATGGAGTCTGGGTTGGAGTAGCGGCGGCAGGAGCTAGTAACAGAGGTCAGTGACCCGCTAGTTGATTGGTATCATTGACTCTGCGGTCAAGGTGTCGCGTATCTGCTGGTTTATGACACGTAGTGACACAGAGTCGTAAAAATTGCGCCTGAACATCACGCTGTAGCGACATGAAGACATCTGCCACGAGGATACCGCGAAAACTGATAACGTTGCTTGAAACCCCAGTTGATTGGCTGTAACTGCTTCCTGTGCTTTCGTCTTGTTCTCTGTGCTGAAGCACTCGAAGTTTCAGTTGATTTATACTGAGGTATCAGAGTTTGTATCAAGCTGGCTCTGATTGACTCGAAGTAAGGATTTTTGTTTAAATTAATTCTGCTATTGGGTTTTATGAAGTTGAATAGCGGTCATTTAAAAGAACATACGAATTGCAACAGGAAATGAAATATTTTTGAATGAGTGTTGATCATTGGTAAAAGGAGCCTTATTTGTTCACCACCATTACCACCGCCAAACACCCCCTTGTGAAATCTCATGGAATTTGATTGGTTTAAAATGAAGGATGTTTTGTTTCCTCTAGACTCCGGGTGCAGCTTCAGTCGCTGGAGCGGGTGGAGGCGGAGCAGAAGGAATTCATACACAACTTCTTGATGGATCGATAGAAGAAATGTGCACTAATGACAAAATAGAGTATCAGTTGATTGATTTGTCTTCCACCTATCAGATATTGGCACGCGTGCATCTTGATTGGTTGGGTGATGGGAAAAGGGAATTGACCAGCCAGTAAAAACAATGACCTCAATCTTAGAAATATTGCCCATCGTTTTCAATAACCCTGCGTCATCTCTCAGGTAGCGTCGGAATGCCGTCGTGGCTTCGAGTCAGTAAATTCATCGACTAATTCACGGATCTATCTGTGGCCAATTGGCGTTTGAGGCGCGTGTCGCATGATTTGATTGGTTCCTACGCACCACCAATAATTGCTCCTCACCCAGTACTTGGCGTGTGAGAAGCGATTGTTCTTCTATTTCTGGTCTTGTCATCTAATAACGGCGGCAACAAGAAAAATATGCGTGGCGTATTAATCAATTCATCGACTAGTTCACACCCATTGTCCAGCGTTTTGAAAGGTGCATCCACTAAGGCGTGCTGTTGCATTGACCGGGACAAGTGGTAGTCGGATGGAGCCGTGTCTGGTGAATAAGCTGAGTGTGGGAGAACTTCCATCCCAAGTTCTAGAGGGTCTTCTGAGTCGCGTGACGTCGAGCGTTGTCATGAAGCAGCAGCAGCAATAGTGGTAGAATTACTTGCCTGCTTCCTTACCCAGTATATGACCATTTCTGATCAAGTACTTCGTTTAGTTCGTTAAATTGTCAGCTGCAGCCTTGCGCAATCATCGTCTGACGTCATCGTCATCGGCGGGCAAGCAGTGAATGGCATGTGTTCATGCAACGACCTTGGCGGGTGTGTTCGGTCAAGGCATGTGGGGGGACCCAAATTCCAAGATTTGTAATTTTTCCTATTTTGCCCAAACGCCTAAAATGGCTGTTTTGGGTGACTCCTTACTGAGCTGCAGGCTCTTGTTGCATTCGCGTAGAGCCTTTTTCCAGTAGAGAATG